GCAGTGTCACTGGCCCTCCTATGTGGGATCCGAACCGGGGCCCTCTGGCGTCCCGAGCCAGCTCTTAACCACCGCGCCGCTCGGCCGGCCCAGGAATCCTGTCTTTCACGAGAGCTGGGACTCAGTGGAAAGAGGAGGAGTCTGAAACTGGCTGGAAGCTTGCCTCGGGTCAGGGACGGGTGACCAGCGATCCAGAATGTCCCCAGGGCACAGCAGATGCCCACCTTGCTTGCTTCAGGACTGATGACAGGAAGACGGCCCCTCTGAAGAAGCTGACCCCCCAGGTATTCCTGGGCACAGGGTCAGTGTTTCTGACAAGACCAGGCGCTTGAGTTGAGGCGGAGTAGGCGTCCTGCCTGGGTCTGGGGACATGGGAGCCTGGAGCCCACTGTGCAAATGGGACCAGTGGGGGCTTCTGTCAGGCTCACCAAACACGACTTGACTGTGAATAGCTGTCATTTCACGTGGTTTCTGTGAGGGTGGGGGCAGTGCAGGTTGAGGAAACTCAGGTTTCAATCAGGGTCAGACAGCTAGAGGCAGAGCTGGGCTTTGGTTTCTGAGCTGGAGCTTTGAGCCATGCTGGCACCTAGGGTATCACAGCTGCACGGCCCCTGGATTCATCCGGGTCCCCCCACCTCTGGGCAGGCTGAGTCCAGGGACACCTTGCCTGCCTGGGTCACCATGGCCAGCTCACCTGGGAGAGGGCAGTGGGTAGGTGCCTTGAGCACTCGGCACAGACCAGGCATCATTCTGTTTCCGGTGGCTGATGGGAAGACTCACTGCTTTGGGATTGCTGTGGTGACACTCCCGAGTGCGGGCCCCATCTGTTGGTGGCCTTTCCCTAGGCGCGCTGATGTAGGCGGGCTCAGCAGTCTAGCCTACTGGTGAAGGGCATGGTTTCTGAGGCCAGACATACCACGTTCTGTCGGTGTGATCTTAGGTGATTTACTTTGTGCCTCAGTTTTCCTGTCATTAAATGGGGCTGTGGTGAAGCTATGAGTTTCAGTGTCTGTGAAGTGCCCAGCATGGCGGCAAATGTGCAGCGACTGATAACTGCTCTTTCTAGCTAGTAGCCATCAGCGAGTGCTTGCAGGGAGACTTCCAAGTTTAAAGCCCTGAAGCCTGACCGCGTGGCTGGGCACCGTGATTGAGCCCGGGGAAGGCTCTGGGAGCGGAACTGGCTTCCAAAGAAACAGGCGAACACAAAAGAAGGGCATCTGTTGAATAATCACGGGGCTGTCTTCACCATGAGATCTGAAAACATTGTCTTCTGCTTTGAGCCCACCACTCGCCTCAACACTCAGCCGCAGCGGGAGTGTTTCAGAGAAAAGGGGCCAGCCCGTAAGAAAGGGACGTGAGTGCCCTTGCTGGTCGGTCATCTGCCTTACCTTCTTTTTCTCGTCACCTGGGCCTTTTAAAAGCCTTCAGGTTTCAGCAGGTTCTGCTGTGTCAGGCCATCAGAAGACGCTGTGACGGGGAGGACTGTGGGTAAACGGGATTAGGGCCTCTTGGGGAGGCCCATCTGCTCTGCCCCTACCCGCAGGCCTTGGCGCCGGGTTTGGAGGAAGTTGGTCCAATGAAGCATCTGTGCGGTGGGGGCGGGGTGAGCGGCCGGGGGTAGGTGGGTCAGGGGGAGGCCAGGAAATCCTCTCATCCTGCCAGGTACCCGGCCTCCGTCAGCAGCAGGAGCTGAGCAGCAAACCGTGGTGAGTCAGCGTGCCCGGGAATTAGCGCTGCCCGTCTGTGAGCATGTGGGTTTGTGGAAATTTGGGCCTTTTGTTTCTTCCAGCACTCGAGTCTTTAGAAACACAAATCTGGAAGCCAGACCCTGCACATGCTCTCGGCCTGCTTGTTTTGAGATCATTCCGCTCTCACAGTTGCTTCCCTGTGTGCTGGCCTTCCAAGAATTAACCCTTCACCTTTTACATGTTTAATAGGCGGTGCTTAGGCCTTTGTGGCTATACTCTTCAAGCATCAAAAGGCGTAAAAACACTTTGGTGGGTCTGTCATTTTGCACAGCAAAACTCCTTGTAAGGGTTTTGGTGTGGTTTTGAAGCCGAAGCGAAACTGGGAGTCTTTTGAGGGCATGTATAGACATGTCTCTGCCATTTAGTCTCCTAGAGGGTGGAGAACGGGGCACACCCGGATACGATGAGTCGCCAGTGACTGCTGGGATGATTTGGTCTCTGCTTAAACTGGTACATGCAGAGCTCACCCTAGAATCTCTTCTGAAGATCACCCCAAGCTTCTCCAGGCACGATTTGGAGAAAGTGAAAGTCCTTTAGGTAGAGTGGAAAGCTCCCGCCTTCATAAAAAGCACACTGTGCCCCACTGCCAGTCTCCTTCGAGCTTTCATTTGGATCTGAAGGTCCCCAGAGCTGGGAGGCCTGGGACTGACACTGACTTGGTCCCCTTGCCCCTCGCACTTCTGGTGCCTGTCAACCTTGTAATTTCAGTGGCTGCAGTTATGATAGCAGGTGGCAGAATTATATAAGTTACAGATGCTCTTCAGCCGACGGTGGGTTATGTCCCGATAAACCCATCGTAAATTGAAAATATCTTAAGTCGAAAAATGCATTTAATGCACTGAACCTACTGAACATCATAGCTTAGCCTCACTGACCCTACATGTGCTCAGAACACTTACGTGAGCCTACAAAGTCATCTAACACAAAGCTTACTTTATAATAAAGTATCTCCATTTCCTATGCGTATCTCTTTTTTTTTTTTTGCAAAGTCGAAAACCTGTAAGTCAGGGTCCGTCGGTAATAAATTGTAGATGGATCTTCCACTGGACTAGTTGAAAGCACTAGTTGAATGAGAGTCCCGAGCAGTCAGGGTCTTCAGAGAAATCACCTTGCCCAGGAATTTCTAGCAGTTCTTTAAAAAGCACTTTCTACTTACATGAGTAGTAAATAAGCCACCACGATGAGTTTGCTCTGTATCCGGGGAGGGTTTTCTTCTCCGTGTAGCAGGAATCCTACTATTTGGAGATTGTGTTTGGGGCTGTCAGCCCCTCTGGAGACAGCCTCGTGGAGGACGGAGCCTGCAGGCCTGTAGAAAGGCACCTGTAGGTGACCACAGCTTGTATTCTGCATTCCCCTGTACAGAAGACCTGAGGTGGGGAGAGAAAGCTCGAGCACTGGGACCGTTGGTGTGGACTGTGCTTGGTGGATGTGTCCCGTGAGTGGGCAGAGGAAGGGTGGAGAAAGGCATTTCACATACCGCGTGGGAGAGTCCCCGGAAGGAGTGTGAAGAGATCAGAGACAGACACATGGTACTTTGCTCTGGCTCAGACTCTCGTAGTCTCATCCTTAGGCCGCTAGGAAACCGGATAGTTGTCTTGGATATGGCCACCGCTTCTCCCTACTCATCCTACTTGAAAAAGAAAAAAGTCTTGAGAATTTTGACTTTAGAGACTGGAGGATGAACCTTTCATTTGCACCTCCTGGCTTAGCTGAGGTCCACATAACTTCCCTATGCGATGGCAAGTTGGCAAGGCAGCTTGGCTCCGGAGTATTTCTGGCAGAAGTGCAGCCTTCCCTGATGCACTCTGCACGTGAACCAGCCTCTTCTGTAACCTATGTTACCTGAGGAATTTGAGGAATTTTCCATATTGGTTCTCCATATGTGCTCTTGGCGCTGCGTTTCCAAGCGAGCATATAGAGCCAGCTTATGAGGTAGCCAGTGGTGAGGAACTCGGGGTCTCGCTGCCGGTTCACGGCGGCGCCCCGCACGCAGCCCGGTCTGTGGAGGGGAGCTTGCCTGCCCGTCTCCCTGCTCAGCGGTGACTGCTCTCTGATTTCCTTCCAGGCTGGCTGGCTCCTCTGGCTGATGGCATGTTGAGGTTCAAGGGTCAGTGGCAGCGAGGGCATCCGATCCAGAGGGAGCCAGTCTAGAGGCCAGGCCACCAACACCATGGGCCAGTGTGTCACCAAGTGCAAGAATCCTTCATCAACCCTGGGCAGCAAGAATGGAGAACGTGACCCCAGCAGCAAGTCACACAGGCGAGCTGCAGGCCACCGTGAGGAACAACCGCCAGCCTGTGGCAAGCCAGGTGGGGACATTCTCGTCAATGGGACCAAAAAGGCAGAGGCCACTGCCGATGCCTGCCAGCTGCCGATGTCCTCAGGCGACGCCGGGCGGGAGCCCAAGTCCAGCGCCGAGGAGGCTTCCTTGCAGAGACTGGAGGCGCTTTTCCGGCGCTACAAGGACGAGCGGGAAGATGCAATTTTGGAGGAAGGCATGGAACGCTTTTGCAACGACCTGTGTGTCGACCCCACGGAGTTTCGAGTGCTGCTCTTGGCTTGGAAGTTTCAGGCTGCTACCATGTGCAAGTTCACCAGGTGAGTCCCACCTCCCTGCCTAGGTGAGCAGAGGAGGAGAGAGCACCGCTGGGCACTGGTGCCCGGCTAGGCCAGAACTGGGCCGGCTTCACGGGGCTTGGGTACGTCTTCTGTTCTTTTTCTGACCAGTTTCCCTAAAGCTCTGAATAGCAGGGCGCCGACCGACCATCTTTGCTTGAACTTCAGTGAGGAGTAATCCCGTTGCCAAACTGCTGCCCAGCCCCCACTGCTGCATCCCACCTTTCTCTTCCTTCAGTCCTTTCCTCGTCTGCTCACTCCCTTCCTGTACGCCTGTCACGTGCCGGGCGATGTGCGGGCCTCTGAGATGTGCCTGTCGCTGCAGGAAGCCAGTTGCCCCTCCCGGCTCCTCACACTGTGCCCTCAGCCAGCCCAGGTGGCAACAAGGACAGCTGCCCCAGTCATAGGGCAGTAGCTGTGCACACCGTCATGGCATGGGTCCCTGTAGAGGTTGTTTGTGGGGCAGGACGTGGCAGGGTTACCCCAGCGTGTGGCTTGCAGAGCACTGGGTGACAAATAAGAAGGGACCTTTTCTGGCCCCTGGGCAGGTTACCCCACAGACGTCAGGTGCCTCGTGTCTTCAGCAGACACACGGCCTCTGAGATGATCTGTGTGAGATCATGCTGCGAGGGGACAGTGTTACCTAGATGGTAGGAATACATGGCACAGTTTTCATCTTTTATAATAGAACTTTGATCTCTGGTGGCAGTTACCCAGGTTTGTCCAGGATCTTTGGCTCCAAAAGTCTGCCTTGGCAGTCACCAGAAATATTCCCCAAACACCACAGAGAACCAAAAGGAAGCAGGAAGAGTCCCCGGCCATCCGGGCGGGGGGGTGTCTGTGACCGGTTGCAGGTGCAGACCAAGAAGCGCCAGCCTGGGAGTCTCGTTGAGCTTTGGGAAGCTGAACAAATGCATGAGTAAACCATTAGCAGCTGCCTCCTATGTGCCAGGCACCATTAGACACAGCTGACATTTATTACCTTGTTCAGCCCTCAGCGAACCCCTGTGAAGTGCGGTGGTGGGTGGCCTCACCTGTGACAGGTGAAGACAAGGACTTGGGCGGGGGGGAGCTGGGATCCGTCCAGGCCCCGCGGCCCAAGCCAGCTGCCCATCACGGCCCCGTGCCACCTCTCAGTGAGCCGCTCTCCTGTGCAATGACTGACTGTGCCCGCCTTCCTTTTGCAGGAAGGAGTTTTTTGATGGCTGCAAAGCAATAAGCGCAGACAGCATCGACGGGATCTGTGCGCGGTTTCCGAGCCTCTTAACGGAAGCCAGACAAGAGGACAAATTCAAGGATCTCTACCGGTTTACATTTCAGGTCGGCCTGGACTCTGAGGAGGGGCAGCGGTCGCTGCACCGGGAAATAGCCATCGCCCTGTGGAAACTAGTCTTCACCCAGAACAGCCCGCCTGTGTTGGACCAGTGGCTAAACTTCCTGACAGAGAACCCCTCGGGGGTCAAGGGCATCTCCCGGGACACTTGGAACATGTTTCTCAACTTCACTCAGGTAATCGGCCCCGACCTCAGCAACTACAGTGAAGACGAGGCCTGGCCGAGTCTCTTCGACACCTTTGTGGAGTGGGAGATGGAGCGGAGGAAAAGGGAGGGGCGTGGGAGGCGCGCGCTCAGCTCAGGGCCCGAGGGCTTGTGTCCCGAGGAGCAGACCTAGCGCCGGGTCCCAGGACCCGCGGCCAGGACCCACCCGCCTGTCGCCACCGAAGGAATGGACCTGTCTGGAAATTACTGAAGATCCGGATATTTTCTACTTTACACCTTTCTCTGCCTTGTATCCGAAAGGGCTCTAAAATGCTGTATCATGTTTTAGGCACTTTCTTCACTTTTTGGTTATTTTGATTATTTCTTTTTTTGAGGGGGGGGAGGGTTCTCCCAAAATATTTGAACCTGGCTACATGTTGTGCATCTTTTTTATTTTTATTTTTTTTGAAGCCTTCAGATAGAATAAGCCTGCCTTTTCTTGCACAAATTAGATTTTTTTTGTGTGGGGGAGGGCATAGACCAGGGAGAGGGCATGGGACGTTAGGCCGAATTAACCTACGAGAGGATCCAGTGCCAGATCTCAGCTTTGCATATTGTTTTTCAGGGCAGGTCTGTACTGTGTGTAGTGCTGTTTACATGGTTGAATTTAGGTTGTGATAATTATTTTTGAAGATTTACACAGCGTTGACTAGCAGTGTTAACTGTTAACCACATCACATTAATTCCCAGACGACTTGAAGCTCTTGGAGAGCCGAGGCCAGCCAAGAGTGGCGGTGGTCTGGCGACAGCCCCCTTTGAAGCTAATTTCTCCGAAACCTTTCCTTGTTTTCCTCACTCACCTTTTGTTCGTTCCTTCTTTGACCCATTGCATTTCGTATCGAGTTGATCCGTCAGCGTGCTGCACCCTGCACAGTTTTAGAACCTTGTGCTAACAACCACTTCAACACCCCAACACAGAGAGAGCAGTGCTACCTCAGTTTTGCTGGAAGAAGTAGACTTTGATAGTTTTCTTTCCTTGATGAATTTTCTGTATTTTCATGTTGTAAATGGAAATACGTTGATTTTTTTTTTCTTTTCTTTTTTATTTTCATTTGCCTCGGAGCCAAAGTTTCTGTTCCTGGTGGTCGGAAAACGGTGCCTGCCGGCCAGCTGACTTGAAGGAAAACTGTGGAATGGAGCTCTGCTTGAATTTTTTTCCTTTTAAAAAAAAAAAATTTTTTTTTTGAGTGTCATCAGCTTACTTGTCTGGCAAGTGCAGAAGCCTGGGGCTGGCCTGAACTCTGCCAAACAAAATATAGAAGTGTATTTAATAGTTAGATGTGTCCCCTTTCCTTCGTGCTGCACCCATGTTGTCACTGCACCCCTGGGAGTTATTTATTATCTCGTCGTTCGTGTCAGGCTCATCTGGGGTAATGTGATAACTGTTTAGGTTTACATGACCCTCTTCTCCTTCCCCTTCCCCCAAATATGTATATATACATATATAAGATATGTATATATTTTACCTATATAAAATATATATATATACACATATATGTATCTATATTCCTTTGTTTCTTTGCCTGCTAAAACTGGCCATAAAGAAGGGAGCTGCCTTCAATATATATAAAGTATAAGAACAGTGCCAGGGAACGTCCTAAAGGAAGCTTTTGAATCTGAATTTGGGCCGTTTTCACTAAAGAGAAGATGAATTTTCTCGGTCTTTTCCTCACAAGAGGGAGGCCCCGTTCCCAGACTCCTCTGCGTGCTCGCCCCGTAAGCCCAGCTTCGGCCAAACTGCCACACGGGAGCCGACTCAGGTCCGACCTGGTCTCAGCAGAGGGTCCTTGCTTTTCCTTTGAAAAAAAAAATACGTCCTCAGAAACCGTGCTGGAGGTGCAGGGAGGGCGAGCAGGGACTTGGACAGTTCGGCTTCCAACGTTTTGGAGCAGATCGAAAAGGGAATCTTTTAAATAAAACCTTATAAAATATTTATACTTTGGAGGCAATGAGAGTTTGTCTATTAAACATAGGGAATTTCTGCCCACTAACCACCCTTGCCTCCCTCCCAGATACGTTTCTTAGCCTGGGCAGGAATCGCTTATTTTGAGTTTCTTTCTTAGCAGCCTTCTAGATTCGGGCTCCCCTCTTTACAAAGGTGGTTATCTAAGGAGTTGCTGCAGTCAGTGTTTTTCCAAAATGGACATCGACGTAGAGAATGTGATTGGAGTTTGATTTTTGTAATCCTAAAACCTGTTAGTTGCCCCTTCTAGGGGACAGACGGGGGGCTTTTAAATCCACCACGGTAGGTTAGCACTCCTTCTGGAAAGCTGAAGAGAGTCTCCGGCCAGATGTCTGTCTCTGCTCTGGCCTAAGACACGAGATCCTTGTCTAAAGAGAGTTTCTAGTGATCCCAGCTGGTTCTGGGGGCTCAGGTATAGTCGGGGTACCCAAACTGAGTTCTTAAATTGACCACCTTTTCATGCAGCCGGTCTGCAGCCCCCCCACCCTGCACCCCCCGTTTTTCCCGTTTCTGAGTTGGGTAGAGGTTGAGTGAGGGAGAATGGCTGGCTGCTCCTAGCCGGGCGAGGCTCTTTCTGTCCCACGTCACTGGACACTGGAGGACTCTGAGGACGGCAGGACCCGGATGCCACCCCCAGCCGACAAGGAGGCATCCATCCGTGTATGAGGCATATCATAATGGGTGGATTTTGATACTACCAGCTCCCCAGTCCCCACAGAAGAGCCATTTCAAAAATTCGTTTGGGTTCTATTCTTAAAGATCTAGTTGTTACAGGTGCGATTGAGAAGCCAGAAGAGGGAGCAGTTGGGGAGGGACTTACTAGCTCCTTCCAGGTTTGAGTCCCTGACGCTAGGACTTTGCGCTACAGCTCCAGGGCCTCCTCACCGTCTGGCAAAGCAGTTTTCTGCAGAGGGACCCAGGGTGCAGTTACCCTTCTGGGAAATAAGGTCACTGTTCTCTTACCCTTGGTGAGTGAGCAGGAATTGTGGGGAAGGGGCCAAATGCAGGCCCCTCGACTCAGCCAGGGCCCCCTTCACGCCAGCAGAGGTGGTGTGCCAAGGGGCCGAGTGTGGGCGCCGTTTTGAAAACAGGCAAATGTCTGCAGGGGAAACTACAACAAACTTAATTAATCTGTGCTGGGAAATGGCTTGGTTTTGGCAAATGGCTTTGTGAGCTTCTAGGGGGTTTCTTTAGCAACTCAGTGGAAAGCTGTATGAGATGAAGGCTTGCTTCATTGAACGGCTCTCCCCGCATCCCTGCCAGATTTTCAAATCTGAGTGCGTTATTCTTACCCCCACCTCCTGTGATGGCACTTCGCTTCCACTGGTCGCCCCAGCAGCTCTCTCTCATCCCTGCCAGATGTGCCCACATCCAATTGCTGGGAAAAATCCAGAGCTAGGTGAAGATCCAAATTTCAACCAAGCCCCCAGGCCCAAGGAAACCCTGTTGAAAACGTACAAGGCTGTGTGTTTAGTATTAAAAGGCTTCGGCCACACAGTATTGGTCGGTCTTTGCAAAGGCACAAATTTCTCGGGGGCTGGTGCCAAAATTCAGTCCTCAGTGCTGCGGCCCGCAGGGCGTGGGACCCTGTTCATGGATGGCCTCCCATACGATGCCATGCCAAATTGTCTTAAACAGTGGTGGGAAGTTACCGGGATAAGGACTCGAGTTGAGAAGTTTAAAAAGCAAAACAGATGTGTACTTAGGACTTAGGACTGTGTTTGGTTGGCCACATTTAAAGTGAAGCCTTGGGTGGCATGAAGCCCAAAAGACCCATTTATCCAGTTACAAGGCAAGGCCGGAAAGAGGCAGCTGCTGGGGTAGTGTTGTTTTGCCTGCATTTCCATCTTTCTCGCGTCTCTCATGTTGGGTTAGCGAGGACTTGAACATTTTGCGAATGGACGAAGGACTTCCTTGGGGGACTCCAGCAATATGTTGTTTAAACAGCGGAAAGGACTCTTAAAAGTCATGACAGTGTGTTCATTGGGACTCATTTGAGGACATGTGACGTTGGCCCCTCTCTCATCCAGTGTGTTTTCTGAATCACATGGAGGGGTTTCCCAATCGCCTCCCTGCGGAATTGACACCTGCGGGAAGCAGGAATGGCGGCATGTGTTCAGTGTAACCCGGGCTGGGACCGCATTATCATGAGGACCTGCAGGCGTCCCCTCACTGAAAGACAAAAGTGATGCTTGAGCTGTGGTTCAGAAACCCAGATGGTTCAGGTAGCTTCTGACCTGGCGCTGGGCCGTCACATCCCCTCTGTTCCTCCTAGAAGTTCAGCCTGCCGCAGTTACCTACGTCCACGGCCCACTCCCCTCCCCACTTTCAGCACAGATCTGGTAACTTGCCAAAGGAATCCATTCAGCAGCTGCTGGGGGTTTCCCCCCCCAACACACAGTTATTCTGGGAGAACTGTCTTCCCCCAACCCTGGTCCCAGCCCCGAGTCTGGGATGAATTGCTCTGACCTGTTGCACTAATGAGTATGATTCTTGGTTTCAAAGGGGGGAGGGGGGAAGAGTGTTGAAGTAGGCAAACGGGGCTTGGATGAGTCCGTCCCACAGACACCCTGCCTTAACCCGCTGAGGTGACGAGTCTCCACCCACGTGACCCTCCACCTTTGTGGCTTCTTCTTGGTTTGTGACCAGTGGTTTCTTGAGGTTGTACAGACCTGTTGACAAAAGTCAACACTGGTGTTTGTATTCTCTGCACTGTTGCACTCTCCAAATGGCTCCTTGAATATTTTTATTAACTTGTTACACACATTTTTGTCTTTGTCTACATTATTTCTTTTCATGTTTTTTTTTATTTGAAAGGTTACCTGCTGTTGGATTTAATAAATTTGTTTACTTGACAATTGACAATATTGGAACAAACAAAACCAGTGGCTTTATTCTGGGGCAAGATTTATCCCCTCTTCCACCATGACATTGGAGAGCAGTTCATGTGTTCTGGGAAATCCAGATACTAAGGACTCCCAGACTCCAGACGTGGATGCTGACCTCCAGCTCACCAGGCTCAGTGGCCTTTGGGTCCCCAGCACTTGTAGGCAGAAAGCAAATGAGTCTTCCCAGGGTCACTCCCTAGATAGTCTGAACTTAGCCAGTGATGTGGGTTCCCATGAGGAATGGAAAGCGAGCACTGTGCTAAATGGAAGACGTCTACGCCTATCAGGTTGGCAGTGACGGGCAACGGAGACCAGCTGAAACTGTCAAGTGCCACAGCTGTGTGACCTATGGCAAGTGAGTGAAATTCCGAGTTTCCTTTTACTCATCTGTGAAATCGAGGCTGTTTACTTCCATTGGTATTAGGATTTAAGAGCAAGTGTTTATAAAACACCTAAGATGTAGACGTTTAAGGTCCCCAAAAAGATGTCAGGTGAGTAATGCTGGGAACCCAGAGAGCGAAGGGCGCTGGCCTGGTCACACATGACCTTTCACAGGTCGCTGCCCATCTCCCCTCTGTGCCAAATTGGGGGAGCTGGGACGCTGACTGACACGGTCCCTGGTGGAGCCATGTGGCGCTCATATTCTAGAAGCCTGATGATGACAGATCACTTCTGACCCTTAGCTTCCTTGCATTGTCTTTTCTGTCTAATTATTGTTTCTCTTCAGGAAAGCGATTGGCCAGCCATCGTATTTCTTTGATGGGGGGCCCTAATGGCCTTCCCCAAGATTCCCAGCCTCCTGTTGGCATCTCCTAAAAATAAGTACAGTGGCGGGATTAGATGTGCTTCTCTTCTTTCCAGTTGGAAAGGGTTTGGGAATGATGGCTACACCCTCTCTAGCTAGGAAGAGGGTTATAAAGGTTTTCTCACTGAACTGGAATTTTCTCTTTCCCTCCCTCATTACCAAGGGCAGCAGCATCAGAGGCAGGCTGGAAGGAAATCTGAGGGTGTTTTTTTTCTCACTGAAAGTAAACCTCCAGAACACGTCCTTATTCCCCAGCTGGCTCTTGGGCTGTGTCGTCTTCTGCGCTGTGGCCCTTGTGAGTGACTGAGCCCGGCTGGGACTTACAGATGGAGGTGTGGGGTATAACACGGTGAAAGATACTGATCTCAGTGCTTGTACAGAGCCTGGGAGCGCTGTCAACCGTAAAGCTTAACTGATGTGGAATGGACTTTTTCCAGCGAGAAAGGTGAACTGGAGGTGATGCTGAGTCCCGGAGTACACAAGGCCCCCAGCCCTGTCCTCGCCCGGCCTCCGTCCAGCCAAAGCACGGGTCTGGGTTGGCTCTGGAAGTCATCCTCTGGCTCTGGGGTTGGACCCAGGTCCAAAAGGGCTAGTCTGCCTGGGAAGGGAAGGCAAGGGAGCCAGGCTCCCCTCTCCATGTCCTTCCCTTGCTGTGACTTCTGGGGATGCCCTGTCTTAGCAAAGCATTAGGCTCTGCTCTGGGTTTACCTTTCTGCCTGTGGAATGTTCCACCCGATTCTCTGGCCTCGGTTGCTGAGCAAGTCCTAGTGGGTTCCGGCTGCAGTGCAGCCAGCCAGTGAGCAGCAAAGCATCTAACTAGTGTTCGGTGGGCCTGCCCGCATTGCCTGGGGTGGTGCTGCTGACATTGCTAGTAAAGTAATACACAGGGCTACAAATCAGTGTGGAACTAGTGTCAGACAGACAGACAGAGACAGCGTGGACACAGGCTCTGCGTCATACATGGCCTTACATAATAAAGGAGGCATCCTCCTTCATTGGTAAGATACATAAAAATATTTGGGGAAAATTTACCATATGCCAGAATAAATTCCAGGAAGAATAAAGGTAGAAGTGTAAAAATTAAGTCATTAAAAATATATATACTTAATAGATACTAAATTGATCTCTGGATCAATGAAAGCTTTTTAAGCATAAAAGCGAATAGAAGAGATCATAAAAGAACTTCTAAAACTTTAAACTAGAAACATTTTTGCAATAATTGACAAATGTAAACTATACTTAATCTACAAGACCTTCCAAATTCAGGATGGAAAGTAAACAAACATGGGGGAAGGATACTGACACCTCACTGAGGAGAAACAACTGGCCAAAAAGCTTCTGGAAAAAACAGGTGCCAATAAAGGATATTAAAACAGAAATGAAACCTATAATGAACGCCTTGTCTAACTTACCAAACTGGCAAACGTTTGAAACCTGTCCATGCTAGCAAATGTGGTCAAAACTGTCCGGAAATTAACAAAACCTTAAGTGTTCATACTCTAACCAATCATTTCACTGCTAGGAATTTTTCCAGACGTATTATGTGCCAGAGATGGATGTGCAAGGACGTAAGTGCAGCGTCATTTGGGAGCAGCTCCAGTGTTGACAGGGAACCGTTTCAGATCTTAGGGCACACAGCGTGCTGGAATATTATGCAGCTATTAAAAACTGCTCTGGAATCGGGACGAGGATGCCAGGAGATGGTAAAGCAGTCATGAACTCTCAGTGGTGGGATTAGAAGCCATTTTCACTTTTCTGTATTTTTCAGGTCTCCGTTAATGGGTTTCCTGTAGAATAGGGAAGGGGTTATTTACAAAACCGGGGACAAAAGAAAATGCAGGACAGACGTGGGAAAGTGCCCTGCACCACCCGCCCACGGTGGGCGAGGAGGGCCAGGAAACGGAGGAGCCTGACAGAGCCTAAACCGAGGTTCTGCAAAGCCCTGGTGCTATGCTGCTTCCCCCCCCCCCAAATAAACTTCCCCCCAAATATGCTGCTTCCCCCCAAATAAGCTTCCCCAGCAGCTGCCTTGGCGCTCTGCATTGGCTGCTGAGAAGGGTGTGGGAGGAAAAATGCACAAACGCACTTAGGAATGGAATGTGTGTTTTGCAAGAGGCCAAGTTGGCAGCTTTGGCTTCCAAAAGGTGGGAGCATCAGCCGAGAGAACAGTGTGTGCAGACGGAGGCCCCAGAGGCCCATGGTCCCGGCCCATCTGCAGAGCACTGGAGTTGGGGGCCCATGACAATCCAGAAGGAAATGGCCCTGGCTGTTCTGAGCACAGGGAGCCCTAGTCCCCACTGTGATCTTGCATGTGGTAAAATGTCACTTACTGACACTGTGCTTTCCCTAATGTAATCCTTGTAAGAACCCTATGGAGGCACTCGTCCCATTGTAAAGGTGAGGAAACTGAGGCTCAAGAGGGAAAATAATTCACCGATAGCCCACTTTTCTGTCAGTTTCCACAAGCTGGCTCTGAATATTCACACTAACCCTAAAAAGTAGATACTTTCTCATTTTATACAGCCGTAGAGATGATGGACTCTAACAGGCTAAGTGACCTGCCCAGGAGCGAGCCCCATCCGAAGGCGCGTACTTGTCTCTGAGGACTGGCGTCTCCAGGTAAAAGCCCCTCAGCTCCCAGACTCAAGCTCCACAGGCAGGAGGCAGCCCAGCAACTCTTAGTGTCACGATGTCCTCGGCCTTGCCGGGGGTTGGGCAGGGCCCCTGGGGAACTTGCCTCTTTACCAAGAAGCTTCGAAGCTTCTGGGTGCAGCGTCTCCACTCAGAGCAAGCCCTTCAGCTCTGGCTGTGGGTTCCCAGTGCTCACACAGGGCCGCATCTTCTACAAGGTACAGGATTAAACACTGCCTCACATGCTCAACCTTGAGAGTTCATTTTGAGTCGAAGACTTTTTTTCTAATTATAAAAGCAATATATGCTGATTAAAAACAAACAAACAAAAAACAGCCTACACACAGAAAAGCATTTGGTAAAACCCTAACATGCCAATCCCATAGCCAGAGGGAAACACTAAACATTTTGGCATCTAGGCTTCCAGAATTTGTTCCAAGCCTATGCATCTTCTTGTACATATTTTTCTACAAAAATGGGACTCAATACAGACTATTCGGTAAAACCCTTCGTGCTTCATATGGAAGCCATGTCACCTTCACATCCACCCTGGGTATGAGACATCATCATCCCAAGCAGAGAAGTGACCTTACCCACATTCACACGAAGAGGAAGTAAGGAAGCTGGGGTTCAGTTGGGTGGTCTGGACCCAGAAGTCTTCTGCCGCTTCTTGCGAATCTCTCTGGGCTCACGCGCGCACGTGCATAGGCAGCTTTGGCCAATGGCTCCCTAGACTTGCACTGTGATGACCCCGTGACACTTCCTCCCTATACGTTTGTGTGAGGCTGTCCTATCCCACAGGACAGAAGTGCTGGGCCCAGGACATGGGGCAGTGTAAGGGGTGTCGGTGTGATACACACTGCATCCTAGGTCAGTTCATCTTTTCCGGGCGGCATCTCATTTCTCTGTCAGGTTTGGGATCGTCCCTTTCCCACGCGGAATGGTAACAGTTTGGGAGTGGAAATGAGCAGTGAGGGCTTTCCCTGAGATCGAAGCGCCTGCTTCCAAGGGGGCTGTGGTGTGATGGGGGCACCTAGTGGTGAAGGACGGCACTGCAGCCTCACGCTGCGGCGAGGGAGCATTCCTAAAAATGGACTAAAGCCAGCCTTTGCTCTCCTCTAGTGGACCTGCCAGATTTCCGGTCCAGCCTATCTCTCCCCTTCAGTTTCATAAGAGCTGCCAGTGAGAAAAGTCTGCCTTACAGAAATCGGCTTCAGATATTACAATTGTGACGAAGTGTGACATGGCTGGGTTTTCTCCCCAGAGCGGTCACTCCTGGCTGCCTCACCATGTATGCCATATGACAGTGTGCTGCAGGGAGCGGGCCCTGCTCCAGTGACTGCACAGAAACACGGACGGACGTGAAGGAAGCTGGTTTCCTCCCTCACCACCTTCAGAAGAAGAAGGCTTGAACAGTGGCATTTATTGAAAACTTGCTACATGCCATAAAAATTAACTAGAACTTTAGCCGGTAAACTTTCCCGAAGCCGTCTGCTGGATCGAGAGGCTGCAGGCCGGCCACATTCTCAGCCAGTGCCCACGAGGAACAAGGTGGCACACGGGAGGCGGGGCAGACTCACAAACACGTGTCTGGGATGACTCTTTCCTCTTCACTCTTTATCCCCATCAACCCCAGGCCAGGCAGCGATCCGTGAGTGCTGCAACCAACGAGGAGTGAAGACGTGTTACCCACGGGGTTACGAGCACACAGGTAGAGGCGGTAAGTTGGCTGGGTATGTGTACATGCCGTGGGGCAGGGGGCGGGCAGGGGACAGCTGATGGACAGCCGCCTGCTGAAGATGGCTCAGGGGACAGAAAGGTGACTAGTCCCAGAGGCCGACAATCCAGTCCTAGCTCTGCCTCTCAATAGATGAGAGTGAGGCCCATCTCCACCAAGGGTGAGTGGTCTCCAGCTGAGCTCTGCTTCTCCAAACTACCAAACTAGGAAGTATTTAAATCGCCATCTCCAGGGCTTTGGAGCACGACAGACATTAACAGCTAACATACAGAGCATCTTTTAAACACTTAAGCTGCGTTCTCATTTAATCCTCAAAACAGCCCACGAAGCTAACGGAGGTGCTGATATAGGTTCAACCGTTATGTCCCATAGACGTAACCTGTTTAGGTCACATAACTGTTAAGTGACAGAACCAACCAGGGAATGATGGCAGCCTGCCATCAGAGTCCTTTTAAATCGCTGTTCGTTTATTCTTTTGTTCATCCATGTTTCAGGCACTGTTGGAACAACTTCACCCCTCATTAACCTAGTGAATAGCTTATGTTGCAACACACTTGGCGTGGTGCGTAGAATTTAGGAGAATCTAACATTGGCTCCGGCCACCTCACAGTGAATATTCATGAAGCTGGGTTACAGGGCTGAGGAGCTCCGGGCACAGTAGGAAGAAATAAGCAAAAACAAACACCGAAACTCTGTCCCTCTCGCCTGAACTCAATAAGCTCTGGCTGTCAGTCTGGAGGGCAGGAGCTCCAAGCGCTGGGGCGGGGCTGACATCAGGCCAGCGGGGTTCGAATCCCAGTGGCACACTTGCCACCTGTGTGACCTCAAGCCAGTGGCTTAACCTGCGCCTTTCCTCCACGTCTCAACAACCTTAACCACACGTGTATATCAAACATTTAGTACAGTTACCTGACAGTTAAGGGTTTGATGAATTATCACAATTACTATTTTCAAGACTAATTTTAGCAGCTACCAGAATTGTACGGATTGAGGGCTAATTCAGGCTCCCAGCAGGAGGAAACCTTCTAGTCTCTCTGCGGCTCCTTCCTGGGCTCCTGGTATCTTTTCCAACGGGGTCTGCTGCCATCGTGACAGCCGCACAGATGAGGCCCAGAGAAGACAGTCACACTCAGTGAGTTTATAGTTTGGGGAGCGCATGCTCCTGTGACCGGGTTGGATCAATATGGCTACAGAGGTCAGAGGGTGACTTTTAAAAAAAAAAAAGGAGGAACAGCAGGGTTCCTTCCTGCAGGATCTGCTCTTTCCAGAGTTTTCTCCTGACTTGTCAAGCGTGGCTTCTGCCCTTTGCCTCAGAAGCCTTTTGCTGCCTGACCCCAGAGCTCTCTCCTTCAGGCCCTCACCTCCCCCTGGGGACCACCTGGGCGACTTGTGGAAGGAGCGAGCTATGGCCCCTCTTGGCTGTTGACACCGCGGGGAACATGGCGGCCAGTCCTTCCCACCCCGAGAAACTGGGCCAGGGCAAAGTCATGCTCTTACCCAAAAGGCTTTCCTGGCAGCTTCCGGTCACTTTCTAACGCCCTACCGTTAGCCTACCCACAAGCCTGTTCCAAGTATGTTAGTTAGTCTGAGGTCTTTCTTTCCCCAATACAAACACCTAATACATGTTTGTTTCCCAGAAGCAGCGCTTCTCTCAGGCTGCCCAGCAGGTAGCCCGTGTCACTGAAGGCCCTGATGTGCATGACAAGGATGTTATGACAGAAAGTTCATTTCTGGTCCAGACTCCAAGGCCTGAGGCATTTCTGTTCTCTCATCTGGGGCTTTGGGCCTGGGAATCCTAGATGTCAGAATTTTAAGGGATTTTTCAGATAAATAATGCAATCCAGTGATTTTCAAGCTATGGTCAAAAGGCCACTGCCCTCTCCCCCCTCCCCAAATACACACACTCATTCATTCGTCCCAGAACCGCCTGTCTTCTGCTTTAGGATTTAACATCAATTTCTCTTTTAAAGAAAGGGTTTTATAGTTAAAAGCATTTGAAAATCGCTGATTCACTCCAGAGCCCTCATTTTACCAAAAGGAAGCTGAGACCCACAATGGGCAAGCGGGTCTGCCACCTGTCAGAGGAGGGACATGGCAGAGGTGGGCCCTGGTCATGCCGCAGCCTGGGCCTTGCCCTACTACAACTTCTTGAACCGTTTGTCCTCAGGTGGGGTCAGGCAGCTGCCCCTCATCCTAGGGAGGCTGCAGGGCCCAGGCCTTCCGCCTCTGAGCTGGCCTGAGCTCTCTCGGAGGGACCAGGAAGGTTACAGGAGAGCGTGTGCGTGTCAAGTGGGAATATAATACCTGTCTCTTCGAATGGAACAATTCACATGACTGCACGTCAACAAAAGGCCTTTCTCTGAGAACGGCTCAGTCATGGAGGGGCAGCCCTGCGGCCCTTACCTCTTGGTTCCTGGCAACAGGATAAGGCAGAGGGTGCCCGGGCCCAGGCTGTGGTAGAGCTTCCCTATCTTCCGGCCCCAGCGCCAGGCAGTTATCTTCGGGTGGTCCATATTCAGAATCTAGGATCAAAGCCACGTACGACGGTCAGCCAGGGTACCCTCTGCTCACCTCTATAGGGGCTGCCCCATTCTTTCTCAGGCTCGAGGCCGTGGTTCCCCAGGAAAGGCTCTGTAAATCCTCTGGCTGAAGCTGCAGCCCACTGCAGGATTCCCTGTCCACCCAGCACCACCAGGCCTCTGAGCCTGTTCAGCAGGACACCTGCTCTCCAGGCGTGTATTCTGAGCCCTGAGCTGGGGAACCACGTCACTCACTAAGGAGACCTGTAGCCTAGCCTCTGCCACGGAGCAGCTTTGTGACCTGGGGAAGTCACTCACCAGCTCTGGCCTTTAGTTCTCATGTGCTAAGTGTGGGACATCAGACAAGGGGGTCCTGAACTTCAGTGTACCCTTCTGCTTGTGTACCCTCTCATGGCTTTTTAATTTTATTTGTTATTTATTTTTTTAAACTGGGGAATTGCGGGGAGGGGAACAGTGTTGGGGAATTGGGGAGGGGGACTAGCCAAGTTGTTCTTCAGTCCTCGTTGTGGAGGGCGCCATCTGGCTGCCTGTCGGCAGCTTGTGGCCTCTAAGCTCAAGGTGCTGTGTTCAATCTAAGTTGCGGGTGGGCGTAGCCACCATCCCATGCGGGAGTCAAACCAGCAGCCTTGTTGTTAAGAGCGCACGCCCTATCCAGCCATCCGAGCAGCAGCTCAGCTCAAGGTGCTGAGTTCAGTCTTAGTGGCGGGCGGGCATAGCCCACCATCGAACAGGCAGCCTTGTTGTTAGGAGCACATGTTCTCACCAGCTGAGCCATCCTGCCACCTGTTGGCAACTCAGTGGCAGCTCAGCTCGGGCGCACCGTCACTGGCCCATGTGGGAATCAAATCGGCGTCCCTGTTGCTCAGAGCTTGTGCTCTTAAGCCAACTCTTAACCAACTGAGCCGCTCGGCCGGCCCTCACGTGCTCTCGTGGCTTTTTGAGAAGTCGATTTCTCCCTTAGCCTTGACTAATTAATACCACTCATGAAATCGCAGGCTCAGTGTGGTTGTTGCTGGGTGTTAGAGGAACAAGTTCATAACATAAAAGGGAAAAATGGTCCATCTACAACCACCCCACATCATCTCATGTATGTAACACCCTTTGGGAAGCCCTACATCACTCAAGACTTGTCCAGCTCTCCTATATCAGCCCCTCAAAGTCCCTTGGAGAGCCCCCTGAAGGGCAAACACCTGATTCTAGCAAGTATGAGAGATCCTGGAGATCAAAAGATGTAGCCAGGGCTGGAAGAAGCTGGAGTGTGAATTAAGACTAGTCCCAGGGCAGGAAAAAAAGGCCTGACTTGAGCAGGACTCTCCTGACAAACCTCCAGCACTCCCCGAAGGCCAGCTCCCAGGGCCAGCAGACCACGGCGGCGACCCTCCCCGGGACCCCCGCTCACACTCACCTGCAGGGCCTGCTGCTCCAAGGAGGGTGACTCGAGTTGCAGCCCCGGGGACCTTCTCGATTCGGGGGGCAGGCTCTGGAGCCATGTGTAGAAGTGCCTGGGGGTCAGAGCGTGCCTGCCTTTCAGCTTCCACTCGTTGCTTCTGAAAATCTTGAGGGCGCTCTGGGCACTGCAGAACGTTTTGAATTCTGAAAGAAAGAAAAGCCCCATGACTAAGGGCTGGAGATGCTGGTCACCACGCTGGAGCCCAGCCAGGGTCAAGGAAGGAGGACGGGACGAGGGCTGTTGACCTGGTCCGGCCCAGGAGGGTGGACGCGGCGAACTTCTGCGCTCTTTGCCCTCATGTGATCCACGCCCCGGCCTCCTTCCCCAAGGCTACCTTCAGCGGCACACACTCACTCAGGAAACAGTAGCTTCTCTGCTTTCCAGTTTTGAAATCTTTAGGCAAGATCACAGCTTCCAGGCCAACAAAGAGGCTGGACTGCTGCAACAGGTGCTCCCTGAAAGCTTCGCTCACTCCTGACAGGTAGATGGCCCCTCGGTTCTCGGCGTCTTCTTCCAGCTCATTCAAGAGGGTGTCACAGTCCAGGGTGAGCTCTGTCACAGGCCTCTGCACCTAACCAAGAAAAGATGGCGCCGGTGGTGGCAAGTCACCACTTCGACCGCCAGGCTTGTTAATACAAACAGGGAACGTGATGCTCTGTGGCCTCATCCGTCTAAGAGGCTAATGGTGACTGCCTAGCAGGACGATGGGAGCGACTCCGTAAGTAATATGGTAAATACTTTGTGTCAGTAAATACACTCTCTCCTCCCTTTCCTCCTCCTCCCCGCAGCTCCCCATGGTGGAAATCAGTTCCCAGCCTTCTACCCCAATGCCATTTCTGCATAAGAAACTTCAAATTACCACCGCTGGATCCCCTGAAAGCTAAAGGCAACCACAGAAAACCACCCCAAGTAACCAATCTGGGCTCTGGGTACGAGGAAGACCCCGCAGCCGAAGCTGAATTTGACCAGGATTCCAGCCACGTCTCAGGTAACTATCAACTCCAGCTGAGCACGGCCAGGGCTGCGTGACCGGTGCTGCTGTCTGGCCACCTACCTGGATGCGGCCGCCCTCTACCACAGCGCCATTCAGGGACTCAATGGCCAGCTGGGCAGCTTCCAGGACTTCGTACTGTACACGGAAATGCGGCTGCAGAGAAACAGACCGAGTTCCTTACCTTCGCTTTCCAGGCTCAAACTGCTAGAGAAGGGGCTGGGAAACGGGCTGGGACGACATGGCCAAAGCCACCAACCAACATGGCTGTCCTGGCTGTGCCGAGCCCAGCAGTGACTTCTGCAGAACATCGACGGTAAGTGGAGCCACCCAGGTACAGGAGCTGATTTCTCAGAGAAATAACCTTATTTCTCAATGAAAATGGAAGCCCTCGCTCCCCGGGTGGCATGGGAAAGCACTGACAGAGTCTTTGTTACACAGCCTGCTTCCCATACTGTTTGTCACTGAATCCCCGTTTGTCTTGTTAGCTTCATCTTGGCAGCGTCCCTGTAAGCCTGGGGAAGTTAAGCTCTTCCATGGCATGGGCTGCTCTTCACACTGACTGCGTCTCTGCTCGATACCAGACCAGCTCAGTCTGTTACCTGAACCAGAGCAGCATCTCGACATAAAAAATGCTCCCAGAGAAAAGCTGCATGATACTGGAGTTGGCAGTGATTTCCTGAATGTGACACCAAAGGCAAGGTAATACAAGTTGGACTGCATCAAAATTAAGAAATGCATCAAAGGACACTACCAACAATGGTAAAAGGCAACCCAAGAGTGGGAGAAAGTATTTGCAACTCAGATATCTAATGAAGGGCTCATATCTAAAATATACAGAGAACTCCTAAAAATCAACAACAAAAAAATCAAATAGCCCAATTAAAAAATGCACAAAGGACCAATAGACAGTTGTCCAAAGATGTACAAATGGCCAATAAGCACATGACAAGAGGCTTGACATCACTCGTCTTCAGGGAAAGTCAGTACCACCTGACTCTCATTAGGATGGCCACTACCCAACATGGAAGGTGAGTGCTGCTGAGGATGTGGAGAAATTGGAACCCTTGGCATTGCAGGCGGGAATGTAAAATGGTGCAGCCACTGTGGAAAACAGGGCGGGTCCTCAAAAAATTAAACGGAGTTATTTAACCCAGCAATTCGACTTTGGGGCACATACCCGACAGAATTGAAAACAGGGGCCTGCACGGACATTAGTCCATCTGTGTTCACAGCAGCCATATTCACAACAGACAAAAGGTGGGAGCAACCCAGATGCTCACCGATGAATGGATAAACAAAACGTGGTGTATTCATACAATGGAATATTACTCAGCCTTGAAAAGGACACCTGCTACAACACGGATGAACTTCGAAGAATATATGCTAAGTGAAATAGGCCAGACACAAAAGGACGAATATGGTATGATGTCCCCAGAGTAGTCACATTCATAAGACAGAAAGGACAATAGTGGTTACCAGGCCCGGGGGACAGAGGACTGGGGAACAAAATTTACTCCAAGAGACTGGGGAGCTAACAACAACAAAAGCCCCGCCGTAGGCTGCTCCTGGGCCTTAACCCAGCTAGGAGCCTGCTTTGTAGTTAAGTCCTACAGACATTTCCCAGGACGTGGGAGTTGAAAGGGTATTTTTATCATTAAAGCTGAGGCCACAAGCACGAAGCCCGTAGACTACATTCAAGCAGCACATATTTTTTGTCTGGCTTAAATGATATTTAAGAAAATTGGGGCCAGCCTAAGAAAATTGGCAGATTTCTCGATTCTCAAAACAAAAATATCAGAAGCTCTGGCAACACTGGGTCCATATTCCTATGGGTGAACAACTGAGCTGCTGCCATCAGAGCATGGTTCCCACTCCAGCTGGTGACACTCAAGCTCACATCACTAATATTTGTTATCTGATTGGCCCCGGGAGGCACCTGAGTTTCCAGTGCACATCTACAAGGTCAGACTCAGGGCTTTCTTGTCTCATTACCTGATGGGTTTCAAGAATGAGAGCGATTGAGTGGACGGGGCCAAAGCTCTTAAACAGCGTCTTCACAGCTGCAACGTTGCAAGTTTTGCTAAACGGCCCAGCATAGACTGTCGACATCTCTGTCCACTTGATTATCAGCTATGAGAAAAACAACAGAATACAATGAGCAGGTAGATGTGGAAAGAGGATTAAGTCAAATCTAAAGCCATCCTGAGTTAAAACATGGGCTAAATCCACTTCAAGGAGTCTTTCAACACACACACGTGCCAAATGTTCAAGGATCCACAGGCGTTATTTCACTACAAGATTGGAATAGCAAAACTTTATACAGCACAAGTGTTGAAACGAAATAGGTATATCATACAACAGAATATTACAAAGCCATTACAAACAAGGGAAATAAGATTATGTGGTGACATGGAAAGATGTCCGAGATATACTGTGACATGAAAACACAATGTTGCAAAACAGCACACATAGTCTGAATCCCATTTTTATAAAAATGGATTTTCTAACATGTTCATATACAAAATATCTGGAAAGTATAGACCAAGCTTCATAAAGTACATGTTACTTTCCTAATGGCGGGGGATTATAGTAAGTCATTAAGGAAATCTAGTAGAAACCACCCAACTTACCCTCTGGTTCATCTCCTCAGCGAGGGCGGGTGAAAGGCGTTCAAAAGAGAACTGGACGATGCTGAAGGGGAACAGGGGCATCTCCACCCTGGCCTGCTCAAGGACCTGCAGGGGACAACACAGCTTGCATGAGGCAGGGTCTACTCGTCTGCTGGGGCTCCCGGAGGCGAGCCACAGTCAGAGACAATGGTTGTGTTTTTATCCATATCGAAAAGCAATATAGGGCTGACTTCAAGATCTGGGAGAAAATGGTTGACACCATACAGCCTCCTTCAAGAACCATACATAGTCAATAAAGAGACTACATAAAACCACACATGACCCATACCTTTAGCATGAGTAAGAAACAGGTGACTGCAACTTTCAGATTTCCTCTAAGAAATAAGTTAAATTCCAGCAGTGCCCCTACCGCCCCACACTGTGGCAAGCCTGGGAGTAAAAAGCAAGAAAAGACTTAAGAGACTCTAGAAAAAAAAACAAGGGGCAGGGAACACTTACATGAAGCACAAAAAAATCACCCCAGAAAGAAAAGGTACAACGAAATGCCGAAATAGTGGATACAGGTCATTGCGCTTGACAAGGAGAGGCCTGGCAGCCTTAGAGAAGCAGCAGTGACTCTGGGAAGAAATACATATATAACAAGAGGGAATTCCCCCTTGGAGACGCTGCAGTGAAGGGAAAGAAGGAAATGAAGGATCCTGCAGAAAGATAAATAAGACAAACGCCAACCCCCCTCTAGACCAAGCCTGCTCCAGTGGGGTGGCCGGGACGGACACTGCTCGATGGAAGATGAGAGACAGAAGCCAGCCTTAGGCGGGGCTGCCAACGAACAAAACCTTGACGCCTGCACAGGTGGCAAAGGGCTACATCCCCCTGCTCAGAATGTGAATTCCAAACACAGCAGGTCACTCACCTCTTTATTTGACAGGCATGTAACAGTTTGACAGTTTCCAGAAGAAGACAGTTTACTAGTCTCTGCCTCCCGAGTCAAGAGAAGGAGCTTCTGACCCGCCGAGTGCAGGCAGTCTAAAACGCTGTGAAGTACAAGGTCAAGGTGAGAGCAAGGTTTCCCTAACCTGGGAGTTCTCTATTTACACCGACTTAATATCACAGAAACGTACTCAAAGCTATCTATCAAAGTTCAGGCCAGACTCTAAGTACCTGATGTTTATTATGGTATAGAGACCTCTTCTGAGCCTGTTTTGCGTTTTCCCCCCCAAATCTGGGCAATACGTCAGGCAGTTCTATAGTCTTGCCTTCTAATCAAAATACCCACTAGTCTATCATCTCCCCTAAAGCTACTTAGTTTAATGTATTTCAGTGTCTTACTTTTTTTTGGTAAAGAAGTCATTTTAAGACCAGTTGCTAGATTCTGAAAATTACAAATAAATAGACACCATTTAGGGCAGAAGGAGGTATTTTCCCCTCCATGGTTTTTGTGATGAAAGAATGTTATTGATACTAATGGTAGACATTTCTTTGTAGACTCAAAAGAGGGAAAAAACCTCCCAAGTTCTGTTGTTAAGTAAGAAACCAGAGACTACATTTTTCTTTGCCCTTGTTTAGAACTGAAAAGCCCTACCTTGCGTTGGGCTGCTGAGTTCCTGCTGTGCCGCTCAGCTCCTGGTCTGCTGCTTGCAGTTCCTGGCGATTAACTATTGCCTCCAGGTTTAGTTCTGCAACCTGGAAGAAAGGAAAATGCTCAAAATCATCTCATTTCTTGCAAAGCATTTGAGGTTAAAAAACAAACACACAAAAAACCCCAACACACACACCCACACACCCAAATCCATGAACAATCCACTCAAGGGGTGTTCTCGGCATCTGTGGACACTGGCTTTGCCATTGTCACAGGCCCAGGCTGGCTTCAAGTTACCAGATGGTTCTGGCAGCTTGGACAAGAACGGCAGGCTGTTAACAGCTGCTGATGCTGTCACACAAACGGGGGGAAAGGCAAGCAGGACTGAGTGTTAAGGGATGGCAGTTTTGGCTCATCATTCACTCCAGAGTCAGTCACTTAAAATGAACTCCTCTGCAAACATGCAAATTTTGGAAATGAAAAAAGAACGGCGTTTACAGCAACATAAAAAAAAAAAAGGCTTTATTGGTTTAATACAAAACCATAAAGTCTATCATAGTTTATTCTTCCATACAGTGGGAGAGTTGTGACGTAGCGAATGAGATACAAACTCTTTCTTTAGAATCGTTTTAGATTTACAGAAAAATTACAAAGATAGTACAGTGTCCACATACCCTACTCCCATTTTCAACTCTTATTACTATCTTAGATTAGTAGGGTGCGTTTTACACAATGAATGAACCACCACTGATAGGTCAGCTTCATTCAGACTTCCTTAGGTTTTACCCAAAAGAGATAAACTTTCCCTGGAAACCGAGTGGCAGCATAATAGAACGCAGTGATTCTCAAAGTGGTTCGAGAACTCCTGGCGGTTCCAGAGACCCTTTCGGGAGAAGTTCATGGGGTCCTCCAACTACACAACAGATTGTAAAAGCAGACATGAGAAAGTCACTCGTCTCCCATTCAGCTAGACATTAAAGAGATTTGCAAAATATATAAAACAATGATACTTCAGCCACTAATTTTTTTAACATACTTTTTGCTCATAAAAATTCATTTTTTGTGTTAACATGTGTTTTGATATTTTTAACAAATTTTAAAATATTAAGATTATTTTTCCTCACATTTAATTTCTAAGATGGTGTTGATAGATATGACCCATATAAACAAAAGCTTTTTGAAGATAAATGGGTCCTGAGAGCCAAGTCTTTAGAGCCTCTGATGCGGTTTAAAGCAGTCCAGTCATTGCATCAAGTCCAGCCCAAGGCCTGTTTTTTGTAAATAAAGTTTTATTGGAACACGGCTGTGCCCATTCACGTACATACTGCTGTGGCTGCTTTTGCACTACCAACAGTAAGTTGAGTACATTTTTTTTTTAATTGTTATTATTTCAGCTGTGCAAAACAATGCAATAGTTATCCTTTTCACCCCTCACAAAGTGACAACCCCCCTTCCCCCATATCATACATATCTATTACAATTCCATTGACTCCATTCGCACACTATACTCCACATCCCGTGACTATATATGTATTAAATTATAGTTGACATATATTACTGAATGGCAGCTTCAGATGTACACTGCAGTGGTCAGGCCTCTACACTGTCCATGAAGTGGTCTCCCTGACAAGACATGAGTCCATCTGGCCCCCTAAAAAATCTTTACATTATTGATAATATTCCCCAGACTGTCTTTTCTATCCCTGAGGCCATATTGTGGTTACCAATTTATGTTGTCTCGTCCCTTCTCCGTCATCCCCACCCCTCCCTAACTAGCAAGTTGAGTACTTTCGATAAGAGACAGTATATATATATAGCCTATGAAGCCTAAAATATTTGCTGTCTGACCTTTATAGAAAAGCTTGCGGAGCCCTGACGCAGAACAAGACAGGCTTTGGAATCTGACAGACCTGGGTTTGCATCCTGGTTCTACGTCTGACAAGCTGTGGGACCTCAGGTAAGTTACCTAACCTTTCAGAACCTCAGAATGCTCTTACATAACATTGAGATGATAGTAATAGTTAACTCATAGGGTTGCTGGATAAGATCATGTATATAAAGTACACTTAGTAAGGTCTTAGTGGATGGGAGCTATTACTATTTATTATAGATGGCCAATAAGATATTTTAGAATATCTTTTACCACCATGACACACAACACTATTCTGCTATTTATTATTCTACATGGACTGTAACTTATTTCACAATGGAGTCATGACAGAACACATCATGCACCAGGACCAGCTAATAGGTTAGAATGTGCTATGCCCAGGTCTCTCAGAAACTGTCCTTCCACTGTCTCCGCAGGTGCTGTTCTGATCTACACCCACCGTCTGCTGATGAAACAATGGCGTGCTCCCCCTCCCCAACAGGGCAAAAACCTAGGTAGCTTTTAATAATTATTACAATTATTAGCATCAGCTACAATGATCAACACCAAATTATGGTGCTTCATGTGCTCCAGACACTGTGCCAAGAGCTTTATACCCTCACCCACATCCCAGAAGTGTGTTCCCATTTTACAGACCTAGAAACTGAAGTTGTTCAGAGACAGTGCCCTGGATCAGATAGACACAGCAGAGTCTGTATTTCCAAACAGACTTCAGAGACCACATACTTAACCCTACAGGATGCTAGTGTTATAGGTCTGAATTCAAGAGATGCTCGGCTTGAAATTACACTCCCATTTTTGTAAAGAAAGGTGACAGCAGGAGATGGCGGGCTATGACTATCTGTTCTAGTCCCATCATTTTAAGAAAAGCAAACACACAGTTCAAAGGTACTAACCTTCTTTGGACCATACTTAAGAAAATACTGAGCCAGTTCAAGGGCTGTTCTAGCATCTTCCGTGGCATCGTGACCAAGCCTATTTGGATTCTGTATATCCTTCCTGCAAAGTCAAGAGAAAATTGACATACCTGGGAGTATTTCTTAATGACAGGTTCTTTCACTGCAAATATTCTGGTTACATGTAACATTTTAGCATTGTGATCATCAGAGTTCCATCACAACAATCACGATGCCTTTATTCCTAAGTGCCAGGGCCTGAGAGAGGTAACGAGGATGTAGAATGATCAGGAATGACTTTGTCCACAGCAAGCATCTCACCGGGACAAAAGGCAACCCAACAAAAAGTCTCTTACCCACTCCTCACTCCCCTTGTCTCATTTCTTAGATGTAACCACTATTTTAACAAATTTTCTATTTGTATACAAGTGTCTATATGTACTTAACTCCCTTCTTGGTTGTTTTTAAAAACCTTAAAAGAATGCATATGTTTATGTCTATGGCTGTATAGAAATATCATCTGCGTCCTATCGATACCTAGAAATACACAGATCTTGTTCTCAGCAGTCTCTTAGAGAGCTTTCCTTATTAGCACCTAGAGACCTTCACACTTGTTTGAACAACAACAAAGTATTCAGTAATACAGAGAGCCATAATTTATTTAACCAGTCCCATACACTATTTGCACTTTTTTGGGCTATTTTAAACCATACTATAATGAACATGTTTGTACATAATAGGATCCATTCAGTACAGGAATCTAATGTTTTGAAATTTTGGTTAACTTTTATGTTCCTTCCTGTCCAGGTCTCTCCACCAATCCTCAACTGTGAATCTAAACCCCTTCTTGTGTCCCCACGATTTTTTTCATTTCTGAATTATACTTCTCTCCAGAGTTAGGATCCCAGGATTCATAAAAAATAAAAAGAATACTGTTTACAAACTACGGGGGTGTGGGGGGGCCGAGACCGTGAATTTTTCAACACGGATTACGTAAGGTGCTATATGCTAACTTATATGCAATTTGTCAGGATGATATTATAATATGTAAACAAACCTACCCCAAAATAGCTTTGGCTAAGAACTTTAGCTTAAATCTTCTGCCCTGCTCTCTGACATAAAGCAATGATGTATCAATAACATATGGATGTACCATCTGAGGAGGAAAGAGAATACAATGAGTAGCATCCTGTGCTTGAGGGGAAACAAGTGGGTTGGGGATAGAAGAGCCCAAGGCTTTGGATTTGAGATAAAGGGAGCAGGCGTATGTACTAGAAAAGCCAAGTCCTAAATCAGACACTCACTCTCAGAGCTTTGAGATCCAGGTCTAGGGAATGGCCCACTAATACAGCGCTGGCGGGAAGCAGCGCTTTCAACTTTTTCTGGACATCTTTGAGCTTGGTCGTTACGGGGTCAAGACTCTGCTTTGTGATTCCCGAGAAGCTTTCAATAAAAAAAGACAAAAGGACAGGCCAGTATGTTAACAGGATTTTCTCCCTGGAAAATCAAGTCTAAAAGAATATTTAAAAAATTAACATACGCTCAGTGTAGAAAGGTTGAAAATGTAAACAAGCTAGGGGAAATTAAAAATTACCCATAATCCCATTACCCCGATCATCACTTTTTATTTTAGTAAACATCCTTTCATATTTTTGATAACATACATTCATATATATATATATATATATATACTTCATTTTCATAAAAATGCAATCATAATGCATATGCTACTTTATAACATGAGTTTATCATTTGCCACATGTCATGAACAAGTTTTTGCATCAATAAATATTTCAGCACATCCTTTTAAATGGTTCCAGAATACTCCACTGTATAGACAGGACATATTTTAACCAAGCCTCTACTTCTCAGGTATTTATATTCCCTAATTTTGCAATACTGTGATAAACATACTTATACATACGTTTGCTGCCATGACTGTTCCCTAAGAATACTGTCTATTCATGTCAGGACAGTGCTATGATGGTCTCTCTGTGCTAAGGAACGTGAATCTACAGGTGCGACTTCAATGGGCAGAAACAGTCATGGTTCACTGCTTTTTCTTTGTAGTGTGTACACTCTGAAATTACATGTGAATCTCTGGAAAGACAGACTAACGTTTTTGAGCTTCAGATTTCTGTTATGGATAAACTTGGTTTGGTTTTGGTTTTTGAGGTCAAGGCAGAGTAACGTCTACATCATGTGATGGCCGATGATGACTAGCAGATGAGGTCTTATCAGAGACAAATCTCAGGCTGTTTGGCGGCTGCCAGATAATGATTACTGCCAGATAATGATTACGATTGGGAGAGTCCATGACAAGGAAGATAATATCCGGCTGACTGAAGGTCACAGGAAGATGAAAGAGCAAGAAAGGTAAGAGCAGTATCCACTGACATTGCGCATCTCAGCATGAACGCTGATAGCTGTGGACCCCGGCCTTTTCCTGGATGACATGTAAATAGATAATACCGAATCGGGCCGAAGCCACAGGCTATTCCCACAACGTCGATCCACTCTAGGCCGACAGCTCTAGGAAGAGCTGAAGGCAAGGGGAAAATTACCTAGTGAGGTAGTCCAAAATCTTGTTGTCAGGTTTCACGAGTTCATCCATGACACAACCACCTCCTTCCGCGACCAGTGCGACACGTGTCAGCTCTCTCCCCTTAGATGTGAGGCACTGAAAGACCAGGGTGTAGTCAGGCGTCTGAACGGCAACTGCAGAACTGTGTCACTGCCACCTACCCGAACCTGCTGGGGTCTCTGTGACAACGGCACAGCCTTTTGCTGACTGGAGGATCCAGTATGAATGAAATTAAAACTAGGCAGGCCGCTCAATATTACACTTCAGGTAACCGACGCAGTACAGTTTCTCTGGGAAGGATGTGCTTAAGGAAGATGGATGGGAATAGCATCAATCATAATTGTACCATTTATTGAGTATTTGCTACATCCCAGTATTATGCTAAGTACCACTAATAAGCAATTCTTATTAGCATACTCTATCATCATCTGATGCGGTAATTAACCTCTTTACACACCCCACCTCATAATAACCCTTTGAGGTCGCCTCTTTGTTATCCCCACTTCACAGAGGGAAAAACTGAGGCTGACAGAGGTTAGAGGATGTGTCCAAATGACACAGCCACTAACGGGCAAAGCCAGGATACACAGCATGCTATGATAGGCTCCAGACCTGTAGCTCTTAGCCCCTCAGTTAAGAATTGAGAAACTGTTACCTATGCACTAAGTGAGGGGGCGTGCCCTGTGTTTGAAAGGAGACTTACTAATTAGACAAAGCAAAACACAAGGGAGCTCCAGCAGGGAGTCCTGCTGCTGATCTTAAATGAAAAAACTAAGCCAAACTCATGATAATTGAGGCAACGTCTTCAAGACAACAAAACACTGTTCAAAAGACAGAAGGAGAGCAACAGCGGTTCGAGTCCCGGCCCGAGCTGAGCTGCCAGCAGGTGGCAAAAAGGCTCAGCTAAAAAAAAAATAAATAAAAGACAGAAGGAGAAACTCATGGTAATGTACAACGGTCTCATTAAACACAGCAGCTAGACAGAAAACAGGTCATATTCATTCTTCATCCTGGAGCATAGATCCAGTTTTTGAAAATGTGAGTAAAAGGGCCTACTTTCCGTTATTTAAACTGAATATGGAACTGAATGCACTGGTTCACTGGTGCATTAGACCAAGACATCATCTGCTACTCTAGTTTGCAATACGCCAGCAGAAAAATTAAAAGCACTACTTACCATTTCACAGTCAAGTCCAAAGAGAGGACTGCTGTCTGTTACAGAACCATTGCATTTGGTAGGTACAAAGTCTTCACAGTCAGGAAAACCTAGAAGGGAAAGGGAAAAATGATTTGCCTTTGGAACTAGAGATGGTGAACATCACTCTTAGCTTCATCCAGGGCAAAGAGAAATAACACACTTGCTGGGCATCTTCTCTGTTAGACACTTAAAATATAAAGACTAATATTCAGGAGAATGACGCTGTTACAGAAAGAATAGGCCCGGAAGTTACCCAGCAACAATTTTTCATCCTATGAGAACAGAGATTATAACTAAATTGTGGATAAATCCAAAGACGCCGGACTTTGTCCATGCAGCCATTAAGGGAGGTTGAATGAAGTATGGAAATGCCTGCACGGGGCATTTTTCTTTCCTAAACTCAAAAAAGTAGGAGTGAGATTCCACCATATAAAAAATCTAAAAGGATTTCACTGGAAGCAAAAGGTTTAAGTAACATTCACCATGCACACCCCTGCACCCAACTCTACCTTTGAGATTTGGGGTGACAATGGGTAGTAAAGTTACATAGGTTTCAGGTATACAATTCTGTAACACATCATCTTTCTATCAGAGTCAGTTCTCCTTCCATCACCATGTATTTGACCCCGTTTACTCTCATCTACCACTCCCCCTCCCCTCTTACCCTCTGGTAACCACTAAACTGTTGTCTGTGTCTATGAGTTTTTGTTTGTTTGTTCGTCTTGTTCCTTTGTTGTTTTCAGTTTTATATCCCACATGTCAGTGAAATCATATAGTTCTTGATTTATTCTGTCTGACTTATTTCGCTTAGCATGATAATCTCAAGATCCATCCATGTTGTCGCAAAAGGCACTACTGACTTCTTACACTAAGAAGGAATGAAAGAAAACTGAAAAAGGGATTTCTCATTAAACATTTCAGTGCTACTTAAGGCACGTTCATGTACTACTTAAAATCACTTTACCAGTCATGGTGCACATCCTACACTTTAGGAAACACTGCACTTAAAAGCATTTCCTCAGTAATAGAAGCTGGAATAAGTCACTTGGAAAGCAGCCAAAAAAATGAACTTTCAACAGTAATATTTTTAAACTGCTAGATAGTCTTACATTGTTACCAACAGCAGATGAAATCTAAACCAACCTTGTAGTGGAAACTGAAATTTTTCCATTTCCTCCTTTGTGAGAAGGCATTTGGTCACACCCACTTTCTTGGAGCCATACTTTTGTATGATGGGGTCGTTCTGCAGGTTGACGCTGACGTTTGAGCTCACGGAAGGTAAAGACTCTGAAACAAGAAGGACGATTGAATGTACATTAGAGTTTGTAAGAGACCTCAGAGGACATGTCTCTCAAAACTTGTACAGTAAAACCTTGGATTGCGAATAACGTGGTTTGCGAGTGTTCTGCAAGACGAGCAAACATTTCTAATACATTGTAACATGGTAAACGAGCAATGTCTTGCAATACGAGTAGTTTGTTTCCGGAACAAATTATGCTTGCTAACGAAGGTATTACTGTATAGGGTAAGGATGGTGGAGATCAAAAGAGGTATAAAACCCAACCCCAACTTTTAAGGAGCTTGCGCTCCAATAATTATAGGAACACAAAGAGAAAATAAGTTCCAAATGGGTAATAACAACAACAGTTATGATAGAGAAAAGGAAGAATACACTGGCGGGGGTGGTCAGAGGTGGTTCAAGAGAAGAAAAGACAAGCTGGGTCTTTAAGAAAAGGCAGAATTCAGATAGCTGGCATATGAGACTTGTCCGTTACAGTGTCTGCCACTCCTGACAGGTCACTGAGCGGAATCTACTCCATCCCTCGCCACTTGCTAAAGCGCCAGCCTTTTTAAGCAGAGGTGGTCACTGATGAGAAGTATTAACAGTGGGGACCTGGCTTAGGGGGGACTCCCCATAAAGTAACAAGCGACTTGACAGTCCTTGTCGAGACTTGTTCAAAAGCAACAATGGTAATTAGCTAAGATCGCTTTCAGAAATGAACCAGGACATATAAAAAATGATCAGTCAGAAGAGAACCGAAAATAGAGAAGATGGCACGAAAGGGACAGAGAACAGGCCTTCACTAGAGGCACTTCGAGACCTGATGGCTCCTAGCCCACATGCACCCTTCAAATACCCCCTCACTTAGATGGCCCAAATGAGATCTGGTCTTTGCAACCAAAAAACCCAATGTCATAAGTAGAAAGGGGGGCATTCCAAGCAAGACAGAAATGTACAAAGCAAACCTGGTACAACAGTGACAAGATCAGCTGGGGAGAAAAAAGGCCTGTGTAGGGATCAGTGTAGGTTCGAGGCCAAGAGGAGAGGCTAAAAGAAAAGTGTAGATCCCTGTGAATGTCTAGCTCAAGAGTTTGGACGTAGTCCATCATTCGATACATGTTGGGGAGCAAAAAAAGTTTCAGAGAAGGAAAGTGGGAATAACCAAACACTTTTAAGAAAGGTCAACCTCAAAGATATGTAGAAAACGGAGCAGAGAAAGAACTGAGAAAAGGCCTGGATTAAGATGGTGGAAAGGATGGAGGAAAAAGAATATATGAAAGAAACATTGCACAATAAACACTGACAGAGCCTAGTGGCAGAACATTCAATTCAGTGACCAAAGTACTTACTGAGTCCTTATATGCCTGGCATTGTTTTGGCCACTTGCAAGTCCCCAGTGAACAAAATCAGCACAATTCTCCATGGAACTTTAATTCTACTTGGGAAGATGGACCATAGGCTAGATAATACATCAGGGGAGGAGAAGGACGATGGAGAAGAAAGGAGGGAAAGGAGAAGAGGGAGTGCTGGGGAGGCAAGGGTTGCTGCCATCTATTGATGATCGGGGTGCGTCGCTCTTAGAAAGTCACATCTGAACAGACTGAGAGGAGCACAGGGAAGTAAGCCCCGCAGACTGGGTATGGGGCGCTACCAAAAAGCAATTCTAAAATTCAAGGCTGGTGTCCTAGGGAAAAATGGTACCGGCAGAAAAGGGGGTTTGAAGATGGGACCCTGTTACTTAGGGATAAGAAAAGTGCTTCTAGCTGTGTTATGATTGAGGGGACAGTGGACTGTCCACGTAGCAACAGCCAGCAGGCAGCTTAAAATGCAGCCAGGAGTCTGGGACATCAGACCCAGAGATGAAGATACAGGAGTTATCCACAGAGGAGGGACAGATAACACTCCCAAGGAAAGACTGAATTTGGAATTGATGAATATTCCACAGGAAGGTCAGCATGCTCCGGACTGTACATTGGGAACTCTGATACTTAGAATGGGAAAACAAAGCAAAACGTTTCCAAGGACAGAGAAGAGGCCATAAGCCTCTGGCTCCTCAGCCCCTACAGAGTGAAACCTGAAGTCCATAACATGGCATTTCCAGGCTGCAGGACATGGCGCTAACTGACCTGTGCCGCCGCATCTCTCACCACTTCCCCCTCTTAGTCCATCCCCGCCCCCATCCAGTCACCTCCAACAATCTATATTCTTCAGCCAAATTAAATTTCTTTTTCCTGATTAGATCTTTGCTTTTACAAGTCAATGTTTTCACATGAGCGGTGAGTCTCATAAGGATGACACTGGTTTACTCAAAGATGTTTAAAATACAGTGCAGGTCGAATCAAACACAGCTGCAGGTCACATATAGGCACCTATTGAAACGAGGAGAGAATGCAAGGGTAGGAGACGAGCTGCCTTTGAGACAGAGGAGAATAGGAAGCAGTCTTGGAGGAGATGGGAAGGAATCATTGGTTACTCCTTAGCACTTTTCCATGGCCCTTGAGTGCAAATATTCAACTATTTAATTATTTCAGAACACAGAAAAAGCATCCCTTACCTTACCATGTGTAGTGCACTCTAATATCCATCACCCACCTGCTTCCCTCCCCCAGGCAGAAGGTTAGCCACAACTTCCTAATGGACCTAACCCCCAGTTTGAAAAACACTGCTATTGTGGATATTTTCTTGTAGCTGGCCTGTACCTACAGCTCCCGCTTAGTCCTCACTGTGACTGGTAATAGTGAGTGTCCCTTATATCCATCAAAGGCAAGCTCTTCCTCTCCATCTGGACACTTGTACGTACTAAGACACAGCGACAGTTCAAAGACAATTCACAGTAATTCTAAGAGTCCATGTTAGCGACATCCAGGGGAAACCTAACCAGATGGGTTTCTGAGGCATGAATCCCAGCTATAGTTTCTGTTGTTTAATCTCCCGCGGTACTTGTCCATTTTTCCCTTAAAAAAAAAAAATTGCTTTTCTGCTTAAGTGAGAATTGAGTTTTGTTGCTTGCAAGAATAATACTGACTAATAAACCTACTTACAAGCATATCCATAGTACCTTTTAGAATGAGCAAATCATCAAAGTGAAGTCACAGCCTTACCTGTGCTCGTCGTGGACAAATCCCCAGTTGCTTCTTTCTTTTGCAGCCCAGTGATCTCAGCTAGAAAATCAGATGATGGAGAAGGCAAGCGGAATTTCTGAAAATACATAACAGGATCTTACAAAAATGCTCGAAAGCAGCTAAAATACTGTCAGCTCGGTGCCAGAGGTCTGGACCTGTGTTGTGTGTGTAAGATGAGGACTGTTTCCTTACAGGTAAGCGGAGCTGCCTTTATCCCATCCCAGAAATTTACTTGGCATCTCTGATTACACACGGTAAGAAAGACAAACATTCCAGCAAGGTCTAACTTAGAAAAGGAAAGTCCCTTTTATTTTTCAAACACTTCCCTGTCTATTACTTCAGTGGGTAGCACGCCAGATGGTGAGGACAGAAGCCGTCCAGGGCTCCAGCCTTCGGCTCACCTGGGCTGAAATCCCAGTTCTGCTTACCATCTGTAACCTGGAAAAGTTACTCAGTTTCCTCATGTATAAAATGGGAATAAGAAAGGATCTCTTTCTTACAGGACTGCTGTGAGAATTAAAGATGCCGCTCACAGCATGAATAATGTGGGACCTAGCATGTAGGGAGCATTCAATAAATGGAAGCAGAAAAGAAATGGAGACCCAAGGAGATTAAATTAGGGCGCACCAACTCAAATGCCCTCAGGGGGAAATGGGTGAAAACAGTCCACTAGAGAAAGGCAGCCAGGGACAAAGGACAGCACGTGCCTCTTCTCTTTAGCTGCAGATACTGTCCTAAAGGCGCTCAATCTTGTGATGTTGTCAAGAGAGGCCAAAAAGCTGATTTCACGTAAATTTTACCATTTTTGGAAACACCATAGCCCAAATGAAATAGGACGCAATCAGGCTGGGAACTACAGGCTGTAATCTGGGAATAAGTGTTTTGTCTAGATTTCCAAAGAAAACCAGAGACAAACCCAATCTCAACACTACAGCTCTGCAGCTTGGTCCTTTTTGCTCCACAACCCGTTGCTTGTTCACTCAGGCTGCAAAGAGCCCCGTTTGAGGCGCTCCACTGGTCTCTGGTGGGGAGGGCTGGACTCAGGCCCCAACACAAGGGTTCTTTAACTTACGTGTCTGAACGCCTTTCGGAGATATCCAAACTCCAAATAGAACTTGTAAAAGTGTAGCTGACTCATCCCCTGTAGTACAAAAATCACTACGTTGTTCAGGTAGTTTTGGTGAAAAAGCTGACACCAGCTGTTGAAAAATCAAACCAACACAGATAAGATACCGGCAAGTCAGTTACAGGCAGACAGAAGGGAAGTGTAGGGGGAAGCAGTGGGCAACAGCTAACGCTTGTCACCACTCACTGCCTAGGAATGGAAAACAGCTATCACTGCACAGAAGTCAAGTCAAGATCTCTTGAGATAATGATTGTTAGCTTCAAATCAAGGAGACTACCATGTGAAATGCAATGTATTCAAATCTAAAATCCTGTTAAGATTTGCTTCAAATCTTAAATTCAGATTTGTTTAAAATAGGAACTGAGCTCCCTTTACAAGATCCCAAACTGCTCGAGGCTCTTCCTTGGCAGGTAATCTGGACTGGCTGCAAGACACCCAGTTTCAGATAAACTGACAGACCAGGGGCAATACTTATTTGTCAACGTAGGAGATGGTTTTTGAGGTATCTGTCTAGCCAACCTCCCCCAGACAGATGTGTGCCTTTGAAAACCGCTCTATTGGTCCATATACAAAAGCAGTGTTCATTAGATATTTAATAATGGCATTAAGGGGATCAGAAGAGTAAAATTCTCTTTGCCCTTTATTTTTGACAGGAAGAAAAAAACATTTGGTTATGTTATTTCAGTTGGGTCTCCACTGGGGGTTATAAACCAAAATACCTCTGGCGGCCAGACAGACACTGTAATAAGAGAAGCAGGCCAGGTGGGACACTGAAGTGCACGTGACCGATCTAGAGGGGGAAGCCACCATTCAGCTTTAGCAACTTGTTGCCCTGAGGGAATATAGGGACAGATGCCAGATCTCTGAGTTTTTGAAGAAGTAAAAAATCTGGATTTTTATAAAGGAATTCCCTAATAAAATTGTTGGCCACTATCATAAAATTTTTTAGGACATTCTGGATGGCAAACAAGACATGTCAGTTAAGGCAGATATGGCCCTTTAGACGCCAGTTTGAAACCTCAGGTCTATACCCACCATTTAAGTTTGTCTTGTACCTGGGTTTAGGAACGCTGGATTTGCCCAGAATTGCATACTTCAGCAATTCACATAGTTGGTCATGGGTTACTTCACAGTTTTCAGTAAATAAGATGGTAGATAAGCGTGGTTTCTGTAAAGACAAGGCGGGGTTAAGAAATTAGGATTATGAGGAATAGCAACAAAGCAGGGCACAGTATTAAAATATTCCAGTTTCTGATTACTTTAGCATATATCCAGACATAAGGCTTTCTAATTCATTGGAAAGGAAGGTCTAAAACAACATTGTGGTCACGTAGGATTCTTTGTATAAAACATACACTAAACTACTAAAACATACTAAAAACATGGCAACTACTACAGATGTTGGCTGGGGGCACTTTTTGGTATTGTTCTCGCAACTTTTCTGTAAGTTTAAGATTGTTTCCAAATTAAGAAAAAAAGTGATGAGATTGTCCATTTCCTTACACTTCTTACCCCATTAACCTTTAAAAAATGGTTCTGCCAATCTGATAAGCAAAAAAAAAAAAAAAAGGAAGGAATCCTATTTTAACAAAAACACGTTTTGATAGCCCTAATTTCTTTCTAACCGGCTCCATCCAGCACTTATCCTATTATCTGCTGGCGCGCTCTCTCTCCACTGGAAAGGAAGAGGCCGGGCATTCGCCCAGGTGCCTCGGGCCGCGCCCCACGCGTGGCTGACAGCGGACTGCGGCGGCCGGCAGGGTTGCTGCTTCCCAGCCTCGCACGCCCCTGCTTGGAACGGGAGCTGCACGAGGGCAGGAACCCCGCGTGTCCGCGCCCGGGGATAATCCCGGAGCCTGGCGCCGTTCCTGGCGCCCGGGAGGCCTCCCTCGCTCACCACGTGGGGAGTGGACCTTCTTCTCGCGTGCCGGGCGCTTGGCCCGTTTGAAGCCGTCACTGTCAGCCCCGCGACGGGCCGCAGCTGGTCACCGCTCCCACGTTACCGACCCGCGGCCGGGGCCCCCCACGAGGCCTCGGGCCGCCCGCCGCTCACCTTGACCAGGGGAAGCCTCGCCGCGCGCTGCCAGCCGGCTCGCATCGCCTCGGCCGCCCCGCCCAGCTCGCTCGGGGCCTGCCTCCTCTTCCGGACCCGCTTGGGGCGCCTCTCCGTCTCTCCCTGCTCCGGCTCCATGAGACTGTGGCGAGAGAGATCGGTTAGAGCGGAGGAAGCCCCGGCGCCCGGGTTCCCTCGGGTCCTCCCCTCAGTGCCCAGGTCGCTCTCGCCCGCCCCGAGAAGCGAGGCTGCCCACGATCTCGCCGCCTAACGGCTCTGCCGGCCGCGCCGCGGGGCCGGATTCGAAACGGTTTCCTAACCGCCGATCGCGCCTCCGCCCGTGGGGAGAAACAGGGAAAAGGGGCCCCCGCTCGCCAAGCGGCTCCCCACACCGCTCGGACCCCGAGATCGCCGAAGACAAGCCCCGCGGAGACCACAGGCTGCCGCCGCCGCCGGCCCCACCGTCGCTGTAACCGCCGCCGAAGCAACTGGCTCAGCCGTTAGGGCGGACCGGAAGTGGTGGTCGCGCGACCGGAAGTGGTGGTCGCGCGACTTCCGGTAGTTGGGCCCCTGGGAGAAAGCAGGGTCCGGAATGGCAACCAAGAGGCTGGCGCAGTACGTCAGGGGACCCCGGGCGGGCGGGGGGTCGCCCCGGCTGGGGAGCTGGCGTCCGCGGTGCCCCAGCGGGCTGGGCAGGGGGCAGCCGCGCCCTCAGCCTCCATCCTCCGCGGCCCCCGCGTCTCTGGCTCGGGATGGAAGGTGTCTGCCCGGACCTGGGCCTAGAGCCTCGGGTCGCCCACCGCTGGCTAGTGGCCCGTTGCATTCCCAATGGGAACCGTTGTGGGCCCCTCCCTGGCTCCCTGCACCTTCCCGGGTTTCCTAGAAGAGAGTCGTTTCTGGGCGAATAGCGCGGGGCTTCGGAGTCGGAGAGGGTCCTGGGTTCATATATCAAATATATGGGTTCTTTGGCAAATGGGTTCTTCTCACTCGTTAAACCTCGGTAGCAAAAGCGACTACCTTGTACCGTTGTTGAGGACCAAACGATATCACCGTCTTACTTCAGTATCTGCTATGCAGCAAGAGTCAGTAAATGTTAGCTGTTATTCCCAACTCCCCGTCACACCTCTTGTTAAACAAACAAAACTAGAACAGGGGGTGTTTGCCTCATTAAACTCTTCTACTCATCAAAGCAGTTTGGCTCCCCAGCGCTTAAGACTTCAGTAAGCTCGCTTGTTTCTTTGAACTGAGGGTATTGCCTTTTGGGAATCCTTTACCATACATTACCCTACTCAGCGGTTCTCAACCTATGGGGTCGTGACCCCTTTGGGGGCCGAACGACCCTTTCACAGGGGTCGCCTAAGACCATCGGAAAACAAAAAGATATTTACATGACAATTCATAACAGTAGCAAAATTACAGTCATAGAGTAGCAACGAAAATAATTTTATGGTTGGGGGTCACTACAACATGAGGAATTGTATTAAGGGATCGCGGCATTAGGAAGGTTGAGAACCGCTGCGTGGTTTACCGGGGATGTCTAGTTTCTTGACCCAGATTTTTAAGCTCCCAGAGGGCTGGACCTGGCCTAACTCCTCAGAGCTGTCTCCTACACTTGATTAGCAGGGGCTTGAAAAAATACAAAGGCAAAACTAGTTTCAGCTTTTCCGTGCATTTTTACCTCTACAATCACTTGAGTTCCTGAGTATTGCTGTAAGATACGGGCGGCACAAAGAATTTAGCCTAGGTTTGCAAATATGTACTTTGAGGTCCACGCTGGTAAAACGACTACCAAAATCAAAAGAGAGGGTGGCAGCTAGTGCAAGAACCAAAGTCTTTTGCCCTCCAAGTCTAGTCCAGTTTCCTCTCAATCACAATCCATTAATGCATTCCTAATGAGAGTTATACCATTAGTGTGTTAGCCTACTCAAATAGGAGTGTGAATGAGTTTGTTGAACAGATGGGGTTGTTTTACATTTTTAGGCAGCTTGGATTAATTAGAAGGAAGTCAATTGCACCAGCAAATGGAAAACTAGGAAGAAGCAAATCCAGTAAGTAGTATGCTTTGTTTCTTTCTATTTTGTAGCTTGCACTTATAACGCTGGAAAAGCATAATGACAACCTGATCTTTTGCAGAGCAATTGTTTGACTACTTAATTGTCATTGATTTTGAGTCGACGTGTTGGAATGATGGGAAACGCCACCAGAGCCAGGAAATAAGTAAGTCTGGACTGCCAACAGCCAAGGCTAGCATTAGATGAGTCACTTTAAAGTTTATAGATATAAACCAGTCAACAGGTAAAGAAAACAAGATGGTCTATAAATTGCTAGTTTACTCTAAAACCTGACTTGACCAAAAAAAGAACAAAAACCTAATATCTATTATGTCATCAAATAAAATAATTGTTTTAGGATTACATACAAAACCTCAATTGCATAGAAGCTGAACAAAATACCTTTGCCAAAAGAGGTACATTTCAACTTCCATATATATGGTCTCTATATTTAATTGTGGAAGTATATTCAAGAGTTTTAAGTAGGTATACTCATAACTTTAGCATTTTAACTTATTCTTTGGCATAACTTTATTATAACCATTACATCACACTGCTTTGGCCATTTTAATATGCTTTTACTGAAACAATGATTAATAATACTATAATGATGGCAATATATGATTTTTTTTTTTTTAAGATTTTATTGGGGAATTGGGGAAGGGGAACAGCCAAGATGTTGTCCTGTAGTCTTAGTTGTGGAGCGCACAGCTAGCTCAGCTCCAAGTCCAGTTGCCATCCGGTCGCCTGCTGGCAGCTCGCCGCTGCTCAGCTCGAGGTGCTGTGTTCAATCTTAGTTGTGGGTGGGTGTAGCCCACCATCCCATGTGGGAGTTAAACCGGCAACCTTGTTAGGAGCTTATGCTCTCACCAGCTGAGCCATCCTGCCACCTGTTGGCAGCTCTACAGCAGCTCAGCTCAGGCACAGCTCACTGGCCTATGTGGGAATAGAACCATTGACCCCGTTGCTCAGAGCTCACGCTCTTAATCAACTGAGCCACTCGGCCGGCCTGGCAATAAATGTTTAATTTAGAGTGATTACAGCCTTAGTTTAACAGTTTAATTAATCAGGTGTCAATTGATGATTCTTTCACGTAGTTGAATTTCCAGCAGTACTTCTGAACACATCAACTGGAGAGATTGAGTCTGAGTTCCATGCTTATGTTCAGCCTCAGGAACATCCAATCCTTTCTGAATTTTGCATGGAACTGACAGGCATAAAACAGGTATGCCCTTTCCTTTTCCCAACCAATCTTCTCACCACCACCATCCCCAAACAAAAAAACAAGCAGGAATGGTGCAAATGTTAAAATCCAGAAATCAGTTTCAAAAAGAAAATAAAAGCTACATATCATTTAGAATTAGATTTATTTAGTGTTAGGAGGAAAAAAGTCCCCTCCAGAAGTCCATTGGAATCTTTAAAAATTAGGAAGAATTGTGTAAAAATGAGTATCAAATTTATTTATGGAAATTAAATAGATCACATTTCTGTCGGTCTGGATTTAATTACTATTATATTTCTGTGTGATTTTAGATCGGTCAATCTAATTTTTCTTACCTTGCAGAGTTCTAATCATTATCACTTTCCCCTGTGTTTTAACATCTTTTCACTAAAATCTTTGTCAGTTGGAGCCTCTTCTTTGTTATGTCCCCCACGCTGCCTAATTATGTGCTCAGCAATTATAGAGTTTCGTTGTTGAATTCAGATTTTGTGACTCTCTTCAGGATCAAGTTGATGAAGGGGTCCCTTTGAAGATTTGCTTATCTCAGTTCTGTAAATGGATTCAGAAGATTCAGCAACAGAAGAAAATTACTTTTGCCGCTGGAGTTTCAGATACATCTACCCCTGAAGTAAAATTATGTGCATTTGTGACTTGGTCAGGTGAAAAAAAAAATGTTATATCTATTCATCATAAATGAGTAGCATTATCACTATGTAATTCTTTATCTCTAGTAAGAATTATACTTGTTCAACTCCTGGGCCAGGAAAAGAAATCTAAGTGCTTAGCAGATGTTAAACAGAAAAAGTAAATTTATTCATATTTTTTAAATTATCATTCTGAGATACCTCAAAATTTCAGTTTTAACTTTAAGAATCTTTCTAAATTGTTCCTTTCTGTTCTTCTGAGTCCAGGCAAAGATGATTTAGTGAAAACTCATGCTGTGTTTTACAATGTAGATTAAAAAGAGTTCTCATTCAGCTCATATCCTTTGCTTTTATAATTTCGCACTAATGCGGACATGAAAAGAAAAATGGGCATTTTATTTATAAATGATGATAGTATACATAAAAACTGCTGGCATCATTGACTTTGTTCTATTTTAATACATTTAATGCAGATTGGGACTTGGGGGTTTGCCTGGAATATGAGTGTAAAAGAAAACAGCTGTTAAAACCTGTGTTCTTAAATTCTTGGATTGACCTCAGAGCAACTTACAAGGTAAGGGTCAAAGATGGGGGCGTGTTCACTTTCCTTCTATTGAAAAATGATTAAACTTTATCCCACATGTGGGTATGGGTTCCTACAAATAAAATGTTTTCTTTTGAAATATTTACATGAATACATTTCTTAAGGTATGTAAAAATAACACACCAAAAATAAGCACATTCCAAATCTAATAGAACTAAAAATTATGAAAAGTATAGCGGTTAACATATAGCCTTTGAAATAGGAGCCATTTCTTTAGACATGTTCTCATTTATTTGATTAGATTTTCTACAGCAGAAAACCAAAAGGACTAAGTGGTGCCCTGCAGGAAGTGGGAATAGAATTCTTGGGACGAGAACATTCCGGTTAGTATAAGTTGAAAATTATTTTTATTATGTAAGTAATTTTATAAGGTCTTTCGTGTGAATCTCAGTTTTTGTGATGTCATTAATGAGGAATATCCTTCATGTAAGAAAAGCTCCTAATCTACTGGAGGTGCCAAAAAAATGTATACACATGACCTGTGTTCATCTTTTGTTATCGGTATATATTGAGCATTGCAATTGAGTACATTTTTTTCCTTTCTTAAAATGTGCATACATTTTTTTCGCACCCTCTGTATGCAATTCAAATTGTTTCTAAGACTTTCAAATTACCACTTTCATAAAGTATTATAAGATAAGGACTACCATCTGTGGCTTTCCAGTTGCTAAAAAGAAAGAATTCACCAAATTCAATGGAGATTAAACAAATGTCCAGATAATACAGTGGGCTGGTGAAAACACTGAACGGGACTGTTAGATCACTCATGAAACAGCGTCCATACAGGATGTTGGTCAACTTTTTGTGAACTGCCTAAGAAATTTCCACCTTCTCTGTGAAGGTGGGAGACCTTGTCTCATTATTAAGGCCGCCACAAGCTTTCCACAAGACCGATTATCATGATTAAAATTAGTAGGTGATTATATAACTTACAGCATGTTCCAACTTCTGTTTAACTGTTGGGGTTTTTTTCCTATATTTCTTTACACTGGTACCACTAAATGCAGTATTCGATATTTATTTCCTTAGGGTTGGATGATTCTCGGAACACTGCCCTCCTTGCTTGGAAAATGATCAGGGATGGTTGCTTAATGAAAATTACAAGGTCCTTGAACAAGGTCAGTGGTGTCTTGCCTCTCTCTCATCTCAAACTCCAGAAGTAATCGTAGGGTCATTGAAATGTTGATGTCATGTGTGCAATCATTTATAATCAAATGATGACATTTTTCTTATTTTGTCATATCATATAATGTGTACTAAAGAAATTCTGGAGGCCCAGTTGCTAAAGCTGTTGGATTTGTCTGTGGAATCATAGGTCCCCCCTAAGAAGAATCTCAACATTTTGGCCAGAAATCTGAATACGAATCAAGTTGAAGAAAAATCGGCTTGCAACAGTGGTGTTTGGCATTCCAGCATATGTGATAGGCAGCCTAAAAATACCTTACTTTATCATGAAAAGGTTCAAATGTCAGTTGGTGGGAATTCTGTAAAGGTACAGCAAGGTGAGTTACAACCTAGGAGCAATATAAGCGTGGGTCTTTGCAATGCCACTAGCGCTTCCTCTCTCTTAAATACTCGGTCCTCTACTTCTGGGTGGCACTTGCGGAGTCCCAGCTTGACTGCACTTATGCAGGAGCCAATCAGAAGCGAGCATTGTGCACTGGATACCAAATCAAAGTCTTCAACAATTGGTTCAGAAATGGTACTTGTTTCCACGACCCTCTCATCTGTTAATCAGGTTTCCGATATGGAAATGAGCTCCGCTCTTGACTGTTTGCCTATGCTCGCCGACTGGGAGGAGGTAGCTCTACTGCCAGCATCTCAGCCTGAGCAAAACGCAGACTGTGTACCTCCTCCCATCAGTGACTCCGACTTAGACACTTGGCTTAATTCTGAAGAACGATTAATGGTTTTAGAGGAATCTGAACTGCTGAGCCATGAGACCTTAGCAGCCACAGAAGAAACCCCTCAAAAATCTGAGACTGCGAAGGCAGTTGTGTATAAGAGTCCCCATACTACTATTTATAATGTGAAAGAAGCCAAAGATCCAGGTTCAGATATTTCTAACTTTAAGTTACCTGAGTGCAGATCAAGTAGCTTCAACAGTGTTAAGGCTGGTACGTCTCATCCTTCAGAGTTGGGGACACATGCTCTTTTAGATGGCACTAAGAGGAAACCATCCAGTCCCACTGCTTTCCCACCAGCAAAAAAACAGACCTTCACCATTCATGAAGAAAAGCCGACATCATCTGATGGCTCCCCCATGAGAAGTTCTTCCTGGAAGGTTCTCTCTTCTATCTTAACTTCTACAGTTAACCTACAAGGGCCTTGGAAGAGTGGCAAAATGACCCCTCCCTTATGCAAGTGTGGCCGGAGATCTAAGAGACTTGTTGTTTCAAATAATGGACCGAACCATGGAAAAGTCTTCTATTGTTGTCCCATTGGCAAATACCAAGAAAACAGACAATGTTGTGGTTATTTCAAATGGGAACAAACGCTCCAAAAGGAAAGAGCCAAGAGCATAGCTCAGTCTCCGTCCTCACGGGGACTCGCTTTTCGTTCTCCAGAAACAAGCCATATTTGTGACAGAAATATAAATGTTTCTACTAAAAATTCGTTAAGACTCAGACCTTCAATGAGGAATTGATAAACTTTCCCTACATATGAACTATGTTTTTACTTTAATGTGACTTTTTTAGTGGTAAAGAGAAAGAAAATATATAGGGCTGCAAGTTCTGAGGACTTAGCATATCTGAGCACTGAAGACTACACGAGGGCTGTTATACACCTGTACGCGCGCACATGCACACACACACCCTGAAAACAGAAAAAGTAAATTTCACAGGCTTCTAATTTCACTCACCAGTTACCTAACTTTTGTCTTTTGTTCATGTATGAATCCTCATTGTCCCTTGAATTCCCAAACATTATGAATATTCTGAAAATGTCTTACACTATTTTATTTATATTTCATATATCATGTGCCAAATTTACCATACTTTTTTGAAGAACCACAAATGAAATATTTTGTAAACTATGTTTATTAAAGTAAATATAATAAGCCATAATAGTATATCTTTCTTTTACAGTCAGACCTTGAAACAGATTTTGATTTTTTGAATAAAAATATGACTAATAAAAATCCCTAGCCTATTTTCAGGTAGATACTTTTATTTAGAGAATTATGATAATCTAACTGACATTTTTGTTTTCTTGGGTTTTTTAAAAATATTTTTATTTAAAATATAGCTAAAGTACAATATTTTATTAGTTTCAGGGGTACACCATAGCTATTCAACATTTATATGCCCAAAGAAGTGACCACCATGATAAGTACAGCAACCATCTGACATTGTACTAGGCTATCACAGTATTATGGACTATATTCCCTATGCTGTACATTTCATCCCCATTACTTATTTGTCTCATACCTGTAAATTTGGACCACTTATTCCCCTCTCCCTTTACCCCGTTTTTAAATGTATCAGTTACAGTTGACATTCAATATTTATATTAATTTCAGGTGCACAGCATAGTGGTTAGGCGTTTATATAATTTAAGAAGTGATCCCCCTGACTAGTCTAGTACCCACCTACACTATACACAGTCCAACTGACATTTTTTATGTCTCTAAAAACTTTTATAAGTTGTTTAGTTTTGTTTCAACGCTTGAAGATTGGTTTTGATTTGTATATAGACATATCAGAAGAATTATTCAACTAAGATTTGAAAATCAACAAGTCAGAAATTTAGTTCAGAAACTGCTTCTGTACTGTATTTAAAAATTCCTCAGCAGTTGATGGTATTTGTTTTATAGATACTGTGGTAATTAATAGAATGGATTTAAGAGGTTTCCCATTCTTTCTTCCTCAGTTCCTTCCTCTTTATCTTCCCACTGATAGTCTTTGGCAGCTCTTGAACAAATTCTAGCTGTTGGTATTAAGGGAAGAAAATGAGTTCAGGAGTTTTCATCTTTAGACAAAGTCAATTATGTAGCAGTTCTGTTATACCTCCAGGTCCAAGAATTAGGACACACATTGGGGTGGATTTTTGATAAGAACCGAAAAGGGAGAGGGGTACTGTTGAGATTTTTCTTGACATTTAAGATTTACTACAAGTCTGCTGAGCCAAATGGCCCAACAAATTAGATCAAGAGTTTCATTATCCATGTCATCAGCTCCATTTGGAACATTTGGTGTAGCATGTTTGAGGAGACTGTTCATTAAAATAGAGAAAATAAACAGCTGAGATGTTCCACAACACTACGCAAATATTCATCATGATTCGAATACCTACCTTTCTGGGGTATTTGTAAGGTGCTGTCATTTTTTTTACATGCTCCTGAATCTCCTTTTTTAGGCATTCTTGGTCATGTGAGTTGTAATCGGGGTTCAGAACAATAAAAGCCTTTACTACCTGAAATAAATATTTGAACCAGCAGTAAGATGAAGTGTGTTTTTTTTGTTTTAGTGTGTCATGTGTACTTTATTTCACTGGGATTCTAAGTGTCAGAAGGTTTGACAAGTTTGATCTGGCTCTGTGCTCTTAAGCCAGCCACACTTCCTGTCCTGTATCTAACACAAGAGGGTTCCCAGGATCCTGGCTATGTTTATGACCTACCCTTGAACCTTATCATTTAACTGCATCTTGAACTCCACTTTCTTACCTGATTCTGATTATCTCTGTTCTTGTCTCATCTTTTATCTCCTTCAAAACGTTTCCCATTGGAAACTTGGCGGTACACTAACACAGTGTGTTGTGTAACAACCCAGCCTGATCTCACCGAGTTTCCAGGTCCCCACGCTCAGGGCAGCCCTTCTAAACGGCATTCATGTGGGGCTTGCATATCCTTGTTGAAAGGAACACTTCGTGGAGGCCGAGCACTGTATTCCAGAGACACTTCTGTGGATGCAAGGCCATGAAGATTCCAACAGCACTTTGCTATTGGTCTGACCCCTTACCTGGCCCCGAGAAACAAGAGTGGAAGTGGCCATGGCCTTGCTCTAGCTGGCAGAAGACTTCATCACTTCATGCTCAAAAACCTTGTTGAAAGCTCACCCTTCCTTGAAATATTTTGGGAAATCCTGCCCAGAGTGTTTGGGCCTCTAACACAGAAGGCGGAAGGCCAACCCTCATGCAGCCCCTTCGGGAATGGGTTGGGATTCTGGATGTTCTCTCCTGGGGCACTGCCAGCACTCCCTTCCCGAGAGACAGGACTCAGGGCGAGTTGAGTGTGCAGCACTGTGTCCAGTCGCCAGGCCAGGCTTCGACCCGGAACGATGCTTCCTGTGGGCATGGCTCCAGTAGTATCTCCTGCAACTTTTATGATTAAATATCCTGCACTTAAAAGCCTGAGGTCGTGAACATAAGCCGGCAACATCGTCTCCACCGTGGTCTGGGAGTAAATATTTGCTTGAAAATGAATTTTTGGAAACAATAAACCACCCAGGACAACCGGCTACTGAGAAATGAAGAGTTGCAGTTATAAATTTTCACATATTGATCATGGTTTACCAGTGAGCAGTTTTACAACATTTTATGAGCAATTACTCGCTTTTGTCTTTACCAAAACCCCTTGAACATTTCTAGTTTACATGTGCCATCGGGCGACTGTGCAACTGTGTGTGTGTGTGTGTGTGTGTATAATTTTATTCATATTTTGATATTTCATAAATTTTATTTGTATTTTTGCTTGCTCTGCTGCTTTATCAACATTTTTAGGAGTTAAAAAAATTTATCCTAGCTGTAAGTGAATCATTGAGAGGCAAATTATTATTAGATTTAATGTTTGTAATTACTGGTTTGCATATTGATGACGTCTACACTTGGATAAAGTCTGTTTTTTATAAAAGTCTTCATAAACCAGTACAGAAAATGATTAATTAACCAGGAACAACCTACATGGTTATGAACTTGAACCCTGAAGTGCAACAGCCCGGATTCACATCACACTTTGTTGTCTAAGCTAGGGCAAGTCAGGACACCTCTCCTGCCTCAGTTCCCTTCTCTGTAAAAAGAGATTGTGAGGATTAGTAAATTAACACAGGTATAGGGCTTACAAAAATCTGGGAGATACTAAGTCCTCAAAAACATTAGGTGTTATTAGGATTTTTTTAACTCCGGAATCCATAAGTGGGCTTCAAAGTTTCTCTGAAATCCTCGGCAAAATTTTGCATTTTTATAAGAAGAGTCTATGGTTGTGCTATTCAAAATGGTAGCCACGTGTAGCATTTAAGTTGAAATTAATTAAAATGAAATAAAACATTCACGTCACACTAGCTACACCTCAGGTGCTTGGTAGCCAAGTGTGGCTATTGTTTAGATGATGCAAATAAAGAACACTTCTATCATTGCCAAGTCCAATGGCCTTCAACTTCCAAAGAGTTGTGTGGTCCAAACCATTTAGGAAACCCAGCGACCTAGATGAATATTTCTCAGCGCTTTCACATTCCAGGGTTAAAACAGGACTTGGAATCTAAATGTACTTTTCAGAAGTAACAGTGACAAAAGTCATCTGTTCCATTATCCCTATTGGAAGTTTTGTCTTCCAAAGAAGACTTGGTGAAAGCACACAATTTTAAACATTGTGAAAATGTAGCTAAAGAGGTAAATTAAGTCATTGGCTGAAAATAAGTTTTTTAAATAACCACATGAAATTCCAAAAAATACTAAAATATGAAAAATCAACTGATAGTGCACAAAACTATCGATATAGGGATTAAATGAGGGAAATAATTCATTTTAAACCCACTTGCTTTTGGACAATTTATCTGAGAAAAAATTAAATATCCATAAAACTGTCAAAATAGTTATTAGCAAATAGCATTAGGAATTTTTAAAGCTAAAATTGCAAAATAGACGACAGTGTGAAAATGCACCCAATACGTTGCAAAACTATGGTAGGTAGATGAAAATGATAAACATTTTGGATATTGTTCTAAAGTCTTCATTTTATCTGTTTTTGATAAATTGTTCTAGAACTTGCTACTCAATCAAAGGCCTGGCAGGACCTAATCTGGAGAAAGCTAGGATAGGCCTGCTACCGGGAAGAGAGACACAGTCTGTGGTATGGAGCACGTGGCCACTTTGGGCATCTCATTTGGGACACACCTACACCTGCCAGGAAATGTCGCAGCTCACTGAGCTGGGCAAACTTTGCCCCTCGCTTGGCTAATCTAAGCCCTACCCCAAGACCCCAGAGCTGTGGGGGGACCATCACCCACTAATAGGTGTTAACTCTGGGATACCAGCTGACTGCCAAGCCAACCCTGGTCCTAAGGGCACAGCTACCCAGTAAGCACCTGTCAGGGTGGATACAATGAATGATGACCGATGCTGGGAGAGGTGCAGGAGAAGCTGAGACTCATGGAGCCCTTCTGGGGGAATTCAGAGCAAAGGGACAAACGTCAATAATCAATGAATCTGTTCCCTGCTCTCATCTATCTGTAATACTGGGGGCCATGCCTGGCAAAGGGGGCCTGAAACCCCACCTACCATGTGATCAGCCCCAGCAGGAGTGAGCTGTTAGGACTTCTGTCTGAGTCATAGCTGCTTTCCTGAGTCTGTTGCTTATTTACCTACCCAGCCTGCTTTGTGATGCCAGCCCATCCCTGTACAAGGGACCATGTTGGTTTCCAGACCTGAGTAACACCTCGATCCTACCTAGCCGACCTCTGGCACCCTGCCCTGGTGTAAGCCTGGTGAGTTGGCATTCACGCCATCTTTGCCCCAGCCCTCTCTGGAAAGGACTCAGATTCTTTCCGGAACATGTTTTCCAGTCTTATTCTGTAGCAATTCTTTCTGACGAGCATATTTCTATCTGACTTACATATTTAGTAATGACTCTATCTGACTTGCATGGCTAGTAAATGAATCATTTGGGTAACTCTGTTTCATTGAACTACCGTTTAAAAGTATGTGTTAAGACTGCTAACAGATTATAAAGTGGTGGTAGATCACTTCTTTTACCTCTCCTCTGAGGGGGTCTGGACTGCCGACAACAGCTGACTCGGCCACGGCAGGATGCTCAATAAGAGCACTTTCTACCTCAAATGGCCCAATTCGGTAACTGGGGAAGGAAACACAGGACAGGAATTCATAAAGACGAGTAGCAGGGTCGCTGCAGAGCACCGATGAGCAGTTAACATTACATACGCGTATGCAAGGATGAAAAAGAAAATTACCCAGAGGATAATATGATATCGTCCGATCTCGCAACAAACCAGAAATAGCCATCTTCATCCCTGTAGCCTCTGTCCCCCGTAAGGTAGAAATTGCCTCGTAGAGTTGAAGCTGTTTTTGTAGGATTGTCCTGTGAAATAAATAGCGTTTTGTTGTTATTATTGTAACTCTAATGTTCAGTTGAACTTTTAAATGTTCTAGGAGAAAGGAAAGTTTGGTTCCTTCGAGAAGCCATAGACAGAAAAGGGGCCAGCATGTGAAATAAGGATGAAATCCCAGCACTGAGGCAGCCCAGCATAAAAGAGGTAAACTTCAGTTACAAAGACGAGCCGTGCTTCCATCCTGAGAACTTTCTTAGCTGGATCACAAACTAAATATTGCAGGAGCTCAGCGCTCAGAGCGGGAGGCTAACCTAAGTCATTTGCTAAGTGACCAATATCAAGCACTGCGAGGAAAAGAGAGAAGGGACCACTCAGAGTTGAAACAGGCACCAACACCTAATAATTCAAAGAACAGACAGGAGTTTTTTTGGTTTTATATCTTGTTTTGTTTTATACAAAAAACCAGAATTGGTTCTGTAACTTTGGCAGGAAGAACAACGAAGTACTGTCACATGAGGTAAAATTCACTGATAAATAGAACCTGGACCCTTGTGCATATTGGTGTAAACATCACGCTTGTTTGTAAACTGTGATTAGAAGTGGGCTATGGCTGCACACAGTAGGCAGCTTGGAAGGCCTCTAGCGAGAGGAAGGCACTGAGCCTCACTCCCTTCCTCCTAGCCCTCCCAAGAAGGGAGCCCACTCACCGGGTTTCAGGAGAATGGTTGGGAGTGGAGGGGGTCAGCGTGTCTGTCCAAAGGGCCGTCTTGTTTCTAGGGCTCCCCACCTCTCGCCCTCGCCGGCCTGGAGCAGTGATCTAGCCAGTCCTGGGGAGCTAGCCCTTCTCTAGCAAGCATCTGGGTGTTTCTTCAGTTCCCTGTCTGAGGGATTCCTACTCAGGACAGTGAGTCTCTCAAGAAAAGGCCAAGTACCTCTCCCAGGTGTGTTCTGTGGTGAGCAGGGAGTCAGCAAGCACTTTTGAGAAGCAAATAGAAGATGAGAGGTTATGGAATAAGTGTCTTACTATATAGTGGGTGAAAAGGCCTAGTGGCCGGTTGGGTAGAACTCGAAGGCCAATATCTCCTTCTTGTCCGGGAGGTAAAACATTGCCATTTACATCTAAAATCTAGGATAAAACAGAACAGTTCACGTAAGGGAATTTTTATATAATGCCACATATTACATCTTGGCATGTTTTATTTTGATTTTTTTGCCCTTTAAGAATGCAGACGTCAGGCACATTTTAAGTAGAAACTCCTAAGATAAATGTATTTATTTACATTACAAAATGTGCAAGAAGAATGAACATTTTACGTAATTCTACCACCCAACAATAATCACATTTTGGAAATATCTTTGAGACGACACAGACCTAGGAAAAATAGGATCTTTTTATAATACTCTGTTTGGCCACCTGCTCTGACCACTTAGCAATGTATCTTGGTCGTCTCATCCTCTCAGATAAATATTTCATTACTGGTTTTCAAACTTTGTGGGATGACAGACTCTTACTTGAAGCCCAATGTAAGGAAGCAGGAAAAGGACAATGTCCCTGACGAGACAGTTAGGGACAAACTCTCTTACCCTCCCCCCAATCCTCATGCTTCCTTGAAGTTCCTAATGGTCGCTAGCATTTATTAAGCACCTACTGTGTTCTAAATGATAAACACTAAAGCTCTATGCACGTCGCATGTCTTATTTTCTTTATTTCTGACAACAGTCTTATCTGGTTAGAACTGCGATGATACTCATTTTACATATGAAAACCGAGGTGCAGAGAGGTTAAGTAACAGTACGCGGCTGAGCTGCAGTCCACGTCTCGCCATCACACTCCAGACCCTCTGCTTTTCATCTTTTCCCTCCTCTGTGGACTCTCTCCTGGGAGTTCAATCCAAATGAGCATTTCTCAAGTTGACGGCTTATCTTATGTCCCAGTTTTTGCTCTAAATGGATTTTAGCTGTTTCAAAATATGAAAACTCGCCTCTGTTTTTATAGGCATCCACCAACAACAGCCTTCAGACCTGAGATATGGCTTGTGTGGAAAATAAGGGCATCATACTTATCTGGCACTTTCCAGAAGGAAGAAGGCTCCTATTCTCAAAGAGAAACTTGAAAGGCAAAGCAATTCTAATGTAAATCCTTACTTTCAAGTTGGTGTAAATAAAAAACTACGAATTCCCACCCAGGCCTCTAAAGAGAGATGTGGCTCAGGTATGAAGGAATTGCTGATGGAAAGGAGATATTTTAGGAGAAATACTGATCACAGGCTGCCCTTGAACAGATGGGAAAAAGACGACATGTTCTCTCTCTGGAGAGCACCCCAGTCCTCGTTCAAGGGGTCCTAACATGTTAAACATGAAATTGGTGAACTTTGGCCTTGGAGGTTGCAAGGATCCGACACCCAGCTGGTTGGAGCACACCCCAGATGGCAGAATGTCCCTGCAGGCGCTCGTGGCTGAGTCACAGCTCAGAGACGCCCCCCTAGTGAACAGCAGAGGCAGACTGAGCCACCAGTCAAGGTTCCTACAGTACAGCCAGATAAGGGACGGGACCTGGCATCTGGTTCATTCTCGAAACTGTCATATCAGCAATCAGTCCCAGCTACACTTTCTCAAATTTACCTGATCCTAAGAATTACCATAGGGTAATTCTTAGGGTGCTTGTTTAAAACACAGATTTCAGGGTCCTACCCGAAATCCACTGACTCAGACCCTCTAGGGAAGGGGTCTGAGAATTAGTATTTTTACCAAGTGCACATGTGGTTCCTATGATCAGATAAGCTTGGGAAGCATTTGACTAATCTGCAACTAGCCCTCCGTTAAGTTTGGTTCTGAGCTCTCTGTAAACTCATCCATTCTGGGTCCTCACTGCTCTTGTTTTCTTTTGTGTCAGTGTGAGGTCCTTTGGCTCGACTTAGCTTTGGGTAGGTTGCTCTGAGAACAATTCTAACCCTGTACCAAGTCTGCTGACGACTAGAGTGCCACCTAGGGATGGAGGGGTGGCTTGCTGGTGGCAGTGGTTACAGGGAGCCAGGAAGCGGCCAGGCCGGTCTGTGGGAAGAGAGGAAGCGTGCTGCAGCCTCTGAAACCGCAGCTTCTTTTGTCTTGCTTGACTTCCGTAGGAGGTCTTGACCTCTCACCCGAAGAGTCAGGGGATTTTGTGGCTAAAGGATGGCTATCGGAACCAGGTTCCTTAGGACTGAATCCCAGCACCAGCAGCTACTAACTGTGTGACCTTGGGTGAGCCCCGTAACCTCTCTGGACCTCATCTGTAAAACTAGTCCAATATTACTATGTCTCTCATCGGCTCCTTCAGGAAAGTCAGTGGGTTACAATTTATAAAATGCTTAGAGCTACTTGGCACAAGCAACTGCTTTGCAAAACAGTTGGACACCAGTAAACTAACACTTTTCGATCATTTCCGTCTTTCCATGGAAATCATGAAAGTATCATGAAATTATCCCCAAAACTCGGAGGGGAAGGGAAGGTAGAAGTGGAGTAGGACGTAAACAGATTGGGTTATTAAATGTTCTCCCAGGAGGACGTGTGCAAACCTCAACGTCAAAAGCAGGAGAAGGCTTTCCCATTGAGCCAGGCTTAATTTTCATTCCCTTAAAATTTCCACAGATGAGCACCTAGTTAAGAAGAAAGATGAAAGTAACATTACAAGTAACAAAATTTATTTGTACATCAACCATGCATTCATTAAACAAATATTTGCTGAGAACTCGGTATGAGCTAGGCTCAATATAAAACAAATTCTCTGCTCTCATGAAGTATGATGGTAGGCACTAAACAAATGGATATAATAATAGCATTTAACAATTAATCAAGTTATGATTACGGAAATATCCATATTTATGAAAACACTTGTACTCACATTAGCACTACACTAGGCTGTTTCTATTTAAATTTGTCAATTTTTCATTTTTTTTTATCTTTGAGTGTTTTAATTTTTGACCAGAGACTACCTTCTTATGGTTTGTAAATCGAAGAATTGTAAAAAGACACACTGGGGAAAACTTCTTTCAGGCCTGCCCTCATCTGCTCCAGCTTACCCCTCCCCTTCCGACATAATAACCACTTCTATTGTTATTGCATTCGTTTTCTCTAGAATTTCTTATTCTTATTTCTCTGAGTTCTTTAGACAACCCTTTATAGAGTATGCTCAAGGAGTTGTCCCCAAACTCTCAAACTCTTAATATTTCAAGTAAGAAGGAACTCATCATTTTCCATGTTTGAGGCAGCCCTGACTAAGAAAGTTTCCTATTACATAAGGGGAAAATCTTTCTGTAGATCTAGTATTTTCTTCATTTAAAAATATTTTAATGCTCACACCCTAATCAGTTATATAGTGGTTTTTCTCAATGAATGGCTGTTCCCGTTCCACAGTTCCAGGATGTACTGTTAGGCTATTTAAACAACAACTGTCTATTACAGAGGGGTTTTTTGCAACAAGCTCCCCTCAAGCAAGCTTTTTTTTTTAGCTGTTCTTCTAACCACTCCATTCCCCCTGTAGCCTTCAGACAATCATGTGATTTTCCTTCATCCAACTTAATCGAATCCAGCTCTGTCTTCTCAGGGACATCCACATACCGTTTCAGTCTGTCCATACCCTTCGTAGATATCCAGACCTGTCCCGTCTCTCCACTGTTGAGTCACTTCAGGGTTGATCGGCTCCCCGGCACTCACGCAGTGCTTTAAGCTTTTGAACGAATAGCTTCTCAGAAGACAGATAATGAGTTCAAGTTAGGAGGGAAAATGGAGAGAAATGGAAATTAGAATTATTTCTAATGAAATCTCAGTATAAAGTATGTTTTAGTTCCTTCCTAATTCCCTTCTCCAATACAAAATAAACCATTCTAACATCATAAAGTGATTCCCCAGACACCAGTTTTTCTTTTTCTTTTCTCCCTCTTATTTCGGGATTGGGGGAGGGATGGGATTTCTTGCAAAGAAAAGCCATACCATCTTAGGGAAGGTACCACGTATGTTAATTATATGTCACCGGTATGTTAAATCAGTGATCAAAAGTTTACCATTTGTCTGGTTAAATTGACTATGGAATATTTATATGATGGCGTACTATACAGCCAATAAGCCCTTTCAAAGGGAATCAGTCATAGAGGGAAAGATATTCATCTTTTCTCCCATTTGCTGGGATAGGGGTGACTGACTTCTCCACTTTCTCAGCTCAGGTAAGCCACCATCCGTAAGCTCAAACACCTTACCTGGAAGCGCTGGGCTCAGAGCTCTGCTCGTGGCTGCGGCCTCCCTTTGACTCCCCTTGTGAGGGGAGCCTGCCCGGAATGTAAGCAAGAGGAGGAGGGGGAGAGAGTGCTAAACCCCGCACCTACTAGTCTGGAGCTATAAGCTATGTTTTTAGGCAGAAAGATGTTTTGTTTTAGATCTTCCTCCCCTCGTACCCACCGCGTGCCTACTTTAACCACCTCTCTTACCTGGTCAGATCATTCTGTACGAGCATCCGGTATGCAGTGGGCGCCGAACAGAAGACCGTGATGGGAAATGTGGAGAGAGTCTGCAATTTACAAGAAGTACACTCTTGGTTTCCTACACCCTTACTAAGTGCCTCAATGTCTGCGGGAGGCATAGCACAACGTAAACCTTGTCTAGTCTAGCGTCAGCGCACTCACAGCTTCCTTTGCTCGGCTATGTTTTCAGCCTTACTGACTTTCCCAATGCGAAATATCTTAAATTGCGTTGTCTACTCTGATTTCTGAGCAGTGCCATCAGTGATGCTGCCAATGCATTTCTAAATGTGGACCTCTGGTGCTCTGCCTTACTTGCAAGATGGACGTGGGCTCAAACCGCGGCAGATAATGTGCAAATACACATGCCCCCTGGGTCCATGGCGAAAAGACACTGCTCCACGCGGACTTGGCCCAGCCTGTGTCCGAGTTATTCCACATCACATCTGAGGGTGTCAAATCTAGCCAGAACCTGGGAAAACAGAATGGCCCCCATCTCTCTTTGTAAGAACACAAATCTCAAAGACCAACGAATGCATCACCTTGGCAGTGTGACACATCAGGCTACAGTCAGTTCTGGGAGCATACCTTCCATTTATAGATAATCCTAAACCAAAACTGCCGTGGGTGTGTCCGGTCATCTTAGGAGACCCACTTGTCCCGCTGGTGAAGTAAATGGCCATCGTCTCATTGTGTTTTGTCTTCACACAGGTGTGGCTGTCGCTGGCGTGTCTAGGAAAGAAGACCTGTAGGATGCTGCCCGTTCAACCCAGTGTCACAGATTGTCAGCACAGAAGCGGACTCGAGAAGCCATCTGCTCCGACCTCTTGATCTCATGGATCAGGCCCCAGTGTTTGAGGCTGAACTCCATCTTTTGAGGCGCTTTCCAGAACCGAACTAAACTTTGCCATCCATAGCCCATTTAGAAGGGCCAATTTCGTAGCTCTTTGCTGTATGATAAAGAACAGTTACAGCATTCAAAAAACTCAAGAGTTTTATCACACCTCCTGCAGAATGAGGATTCTATGATCACGTGTTCGTGGATTTGTGAAGAGCTGCCTCTTCTCCTTACCGAGGATGCTTTAAAATGTGATTTAAAAAAAAAAATGAGTATGTTCCTAGACGTCACAGGTAATGGTATAAAGCAGCGGTTCTCAACCTGTGGGTTGCGACCCCTTTGGGGGTCGAACGACCCTTTCACAGGGGTCGCCGAGTACTCGTATGTGGGCGTATCTGCATGTGGGCTTGGAGACGGATAGAGGAGCGGTGTCTCAGTTCCTAAGACCATCGAAAATATGTGTCTTCCGATGGTCTTAGGCGACCCCTGTGAAAGGTTGAGAACCGCTGGTATAAAGCCCTTCAGGGTTGCCTCTCTCTGGGGGAAGCTGTTCTACAATTCTGGCTACTCACTTCATCATCTCCTTGAGGTCCCCCCAGCCCTCTCTGGGGTGCTGAGACACAAGGAGCTTGGCGTGCAGGTTTTCACACTTAGAAGCCACCGCATCCACTCCTGGGGCGACAGTCTCATCGGTGATGATGCATTTAGCTTGTGAGGATTGCAGTCTGTAGAGGATGTCTTTCTGGGTCAGCTGAGTGGTTCCGGGAATGAAAACGGTCCCTAAAGGGGCAGAGAAGAAACAGTGGTTGGAAGGAAGGGTTTCCTTCAACATGCGAGGGTTGTGTAGATAGATAGTTCATGTGCATTCTACACTCCTCAGAGTGAGTTCGTCTCCCAGGCAAGCTCGGTCTTTGTCTTCCTTTCTTTATTCTGCTTCTGTGTTCCATGGGATCTCAAAGCTAAGAGCCTTTGACCTAACGTGGAAGGGCGTTAGCTAATGATCTTCCATCTGAAGACCCTTTGTCACATTCAGCTTAGAGAAGGCTTTGATTGGAAAGGATATTTATTACCCAACATAATTCTCAAGTACTTGAGTGCCCAGCGCTATTCTAAGTGTTTTGTGTGTTTTCACTCATTTAACCCCCACCAGAAAAACTCCAGACATAAAAGCTATGAGTAAGTTGCCCAAGATCCCCAAAGTAGAGAGTGGCAGTGCAGGGATGGAACCCTGCCTCCTGACCCTGAGCTGTACATGTGACCACTTCATCCAGCTCCTCTTTTTTCTTTTTTAAATTTTATTGGGGAATTGGGGAAGAAGAACAGCCAAGTTGTTGTCCTTAAATCTTAGTTGTGGAGGACTCAACTAATTCAGCTCCAAGTCCAGTCGCCATCTGGCGGCCTGGTGGCAGCTCGCAGCTGCTCAGCTCAAGGTGCCGTGTTCAATCTTAGTTGCAGGTGGGTGTAGCCCACCATCCCATGCAGGAGTCAAACCGTCAACTTTGTTGTTAGGAGCACATGCTCTCACCAGCTGTGCCATCCTGCCACCTGTTGGTAGCTCAGCGGCAGCTCAGCTCAGGCGCAGCTCACTGGCCCATGTGGGAACCAAACTGGCGACCCTGTTGCTCAGAGCTTGCGCTCTTAACCAACTGAGCCACTCAGCTGGCCCCCATCCAGTGCCTCTTAAAATGTGTGTGGTTGTTCTATGCTTCCGCTCCTACCTGCTGTCAATTACACTGTACACTGAAATGTAATGGTTAAGAGTGTGATTATGTTCCCCAAATTATCTCATATCCCTGTAACATAAATTGTAGTTACCAATTTATGCAGTCTTAATCCCTTCCCCTTCTCCCTCATTCCCACCCCCTCCCATCTAGCAACCATCAGAAGCGGAATAATACGTATGTCAACTATAATTTAATATATATATAGTCATGGGATACGGAGTATAGTATAGGGAATTGAGTCCATGGAATTGAAATAGATATATACGATGTCAGAGGGGCATTAGATTGGGGAGAGGGGTTATCACTTTGTGAGGGGTGAAATGTATAGCTATTACATTGTTTTGTACACCTGAAACTAATAAAAAAAATATGTAAGAAAAAAAAAAAAGAATGTGTCCAGACACTCTTGTAGCTTGGCCTTGTACAAGGCACTTCACCTTCATGATCTCAGGTTCGATCTGTAAGATGGGGATGATAATGATAGGCACTACCTTCTTTATAGAATTACTGAAGATTAAATGAGTTAAAATGTGTAGAGTAAAAAAGTGCTGCCAAATATTAGCTATTATTTTCCTCAAAGGTTTAAAGGACTTTCAAGAATACATCTGTATCTACTGCTATATCTAAACGCACCCATATCTGTGTCTGTGTATATCTGCTTTCTAGGCTCCACCACGGGTCCCAGACCTTTGAGAGATTCACAGTGGTTTTCACTCTTCCCGGTAACACGTGCCTGGTCACTCCTGGACTCTTGACACAGATGCATCTTTTCGTTTCGGAAAGGCTAAGCCCCTCCAGTGGAGTTCTTCAGGAAACAGACAACCAGGACCAAAACCCACGGATTTTTGGAATATCTTCTCTTTCTAAACAGGGTAATGTAGCAATTTTTATGAGGCTTTTAACTCCAAGGTTATTTCTTTGAGCTGTTCCACCCAGGGATCAGGAGTGAGCTTCCCATGGCCTCATACTGGTCCATAATTCATAGGCACTCTGACACCGTGCCAGCATTTCATGCCCAGAAGAAGCACATCTTCTTTAGAGAATTCCTTTCTGCCAACGTAATTCACCTCATATCTTTAAAAGAATCCATTAACAGTGATCAAGCTTACCTATTAAAGCTACTTCCTGTCCAAATTAATCATTCTGGGAATCATTACATAGTTTCTTCCCAGGAAGCAGACTGTGACTTTAATTAAAAAATAATCTTCCAGTATTTCTCTGGAGGGATGACCTAGTTGATTATAAATACAATGAGTTCATGTTTTACTCATCCGTTTAAACGTGAGGGCCTACGATGTGGCAGGTGCTCAAGAAACAGTGGAGAACAAGACAGATGGAGGTCCCTGCCCTCATGGAACTTACATTCTAGACAGCCATTGAGCACATTTAAAATATCAGGTGACGGTAAGTGCTATTTTTTTTTTCTGTAAGATTCTTCAGTAGCTGTTGAATAATTATCCTGACTTATTGAACTAATACAAATGGATTTCTGGTCCTGGCAATCAAACTGTCTTGTACTAAGACAGTGTGCTTAAGCAGCATTTATGAAAGCGATCATTTTGTTGAAAAAAAAACAAACTGTAAGAGTGGACTATGCAACTCCAAGGTGTAATTTAAATGTACACGTGAGATTAGAGCATTCAACTTGCCTCGAATGCAACTAATGATTCTAATAAATGGAGAGCTGTTATTTAATAGAATGATTTATTATGACATAAGGATATCAATTATCTCAACAAATATTTCATATGAGAATGACAGGTTTATGAGCAAATAGTATACCCAGGCAATCTAGTACAGGCTAAAACGTAAATACATAGATGGTTTTGGGTGAGCTTTCCTGGATTGGGACATCAGCATTGGGTTGCCTGAGGAGGTGGCGTGAAAGCTAAGATTTGGAAGTCTACTAGGTAGTGTCCAGGTGGCTAGATGTGAGGGGAAAGCTTTCCCAGCATAGAACGTAGTGTGCACAGAAGCCAGGAAAGGGAAAATTCCCGAACCTCAGAGGAAACCCCTCGCCATGGCTGGAGCACAGAATATGAGCGTGAGGGAACAAGAGCAATACAGGGAAGGTAGCTAGAGCCTTCTGTGATGCCTGAGGAAGTTCCGGTTTTATCTGGTAGGCAATGGGGCATTGTTAAATAATACCAGGCAGCAAAATGATAGGGTGAAAATGTGTGTGCGCGCATGGACACTGGCCATGGAAAATGCTGGCGTTGGGGCAGTGTGGGCACACACAAGACAGAATGAGGGAGACTCTTGGGGCGATCCATTCAGGAGATGGTAAAGAGGTGAAGTAAAGCAATGGTGATAGAATTGAAGAAGAGAGACTCTGGGGGAATGGAGGTAGGACGTGATTAGGAGGGAGGAGCCACAGATGTCTGGCTGAGGGCCCCAGACGCATGGCAGTCGATCATGAGAGGAATCAAGGCGTGACACCAGAACGGGGGTGGGGTCTTTGAGGCTGGGGCTGCACTGAGTTTCAGATGACCATGGCAGCCCCACAGGAGAGAAGAGGAGTGGGATGCGGGTATTCAATTGTTGACTGGCATCCACTTAATAAAACGATTTCATTTTGAAAAACCTAACTCCTACTTTAGGTCAAAAAGATATGGCAGGTTTCCAATACATTGCTAAGGTTCCTGAGAATCATACTATATCGTGTCCAGTTTCTCAGATAATTTAGCCAAATGAATGCTTCCTGATTACTTAGATGTTCTGGAAACTCCCCCATCCAGCCTAGCGTACACATGACCAGGATGCAAACATTACTAACCTGTGCGCAGGCAGGCGACATTTGCAAGCCACCACTCTGGGATCCGGGGCAGAATCACAATTACGCGATCCCCCCTTTGCAGGTTGCAGGCCTCTGTAAGTACATTGGCCAGTTTCCTGGACAAAGACCCCAGCTCCTCAAAGCTCCATCTCACTTCTTCTCCAGCTCCATTGGTCCACCAGAAGCCTGGGTTGGAAGGTCTCTTTCCAGCCTGAGGAAAGAATCCAGTCGCGATATACAGGTGGTTATGCAGCTAAATTCTGTTTGAACTGACCAATGGAATATTTTCTCTGAAGGAAAGTCACAGGCCATTTGTTAGGATGTACATGCGTATTTGCAAATAACCCCGGGCTCCTTGTTTCTATAGATGTTGGGAGCCGCGTCGTTTCTGATTTTGCCTGGTGGTTAGAATTCGTGCGTCTCTTTCTACTTCTCTTAATGCTGGATCTATGCCTCATTTCCTACCATTTCTGACTCTTGGAATCACTTCTCACTCTACCCCTTTTTAAAAAAAAATTGACCTATTATCATACATTTTGGTGACCCAGGCTTTCTCAACCAAGAAACTCTTAGCATGTTGAGCCACATAGTCCTTGGCTGTGGGGGGCCTGTTGTGTACATTAATAGGACATTTAGCAACATCCCTGGCCTCTTCCTGTCAGCACACACCGTCCCCAAGTCATGGCAACAAAACCGTCTCCAGACATCGCCAAGTGCCCTCTGGGGGGCAAACTCCCTGCTGGAAACTAGTCTGACTGGCTCTTGCTCCATACCTTTTCCATGTTGGTCCACTGGTCCAGGACATCTTTAGCAAAGTTGAAATACTCTGGAACCTGCAGCTTGAAGTCCCGTTTCATAGATTCATAGCTGGAAAAATTCTGAGGGGTCACCGTCCTGTGATCTTTATGCAACTGTCTCACAGAACGCAGAATCACCAGGCGCTGAAAACACCTAGCACTCAGTAATATCTCCATGGTGACCAGGGCTAGCATCAGTTTTGGTGGATGTTTTAGCACTCAGGATTTCCTACAGAGAGCAATCCATCTACAAGACAAGCAGAAAGGCACGTATCTGTCTCTGTCCTGAAGATAGCCATACCCCAAAGCAGCTCAGTTTTGGTAGTAGCATTAGTTGTCATCATCATAGTACCACTTTCTGAGCATTCACTCATAATAAAATACCACAGACTGGGCGGCTTAAACAGACATGTATTTCTCATGGTTCTGGAGGCTGGGAAATCTAAGACCAAGGTGCCAGCGCGTTCGGTTCCCCAGTGAGGTGCCCTCTTCCTAGCTTGCAACAGCCGCCGTCTCTGTGTCCTCACCAGGTGGACCAAGAGCGAGCTCTGCTCTCCTCCCCTTCTCCTAGGGACACTAATCCCATCATGGGCCCCACCCTTGTGATGGCATCTAAACCTAATCACCTCCCAAAGGTCCCGCCTCCTAACACCGCCCCACTGGGGTCGTGGGGCACAAACATTCAGTCTGCAACAGAGGCACTGGTTGAATTTGAACCCAGAACTGCCTGGTTCCCGCCTGTTCTCCTGACTCCCATGTGTATTTCTAAAGAAGTTAAAATCTGAGTCACCCAGTTACTTTGAAGGCAAAGGGCTAAGCCTTCTCACCTAATGCCTTTCACCTGCATATTTCAAACAGTGTAGAAATGGCAAGGAGAACTTTCGCAGCAGAGAAGACATACATGAAGAAACAGGCTGGGCCAGCACCAGCCAGGCAGGAAAGCACTGCCCAGGTTCCTGTGGTTTGCAGACTGTGGTTCCCAGGCTCCCAAAAGGAGGCCAGGCCCCCTTCAAGTCCAGGCTTGGAGCTGCATTTATTAGAGATGTGATAATAGGGCTTTAACCTATAGGACTTTCATGGTGGAGATCCCTGCTTCTGTGGGCAGTTGTTTGATCAGGGTACCATTTACTTGGCTGAGGTCTCATAAATGAGGCTGTTAAGGGTCCTAGGAATTATAGGGTTCATTTCTTTGGAAGAGTCTTCCCATAATCTTCCAAATTTCCTACAATGAAACACTACACTCAAAATCATTAAACCATCACGTTTTTTCAAAGATTTTATTGGGGAATTGGGGGAGGGGAACAGACAAGTTGCTGTCCTTTTGTTCTTCAGTCTAGTTGTGGAGGACATCGCTTCACTGGCCCATGTTGGTATTGTGATCATTGCGCTTTTCCTGGATGAGGCAGATGGGTCGTCAGCCACTGGACAGCCGCTCATGGTAGCTTATGGCAGCCCACTGCAGCAGAGGTTGCAGCCTACGCCTCTGCCAGCGACTCACAGCAGCCCAGCTCCAGGTCGAGCTGTTGTTCACCATCTCAGCTGTAGAGGGCGCAGTGTCACTGGCCCTCATGTGGGATCCGAACCAGGGCCCTCTGCTCAGAGTTGGCGTCCCAAGCCAACTCCTAACCAGCGCGTCACTCGGCCTGCCCTAAACCATCATTTTTTAACTGCAGTTCTAGCTGTGTGGTGTAAGGCAGCAAGGCTGTGTGTGAAAGGGTTTCTGTATTGAGAAGCACTAATTAATAACGGACGTCAGCCATACGTTTTACCCTAAGTGGACCTGGCATTTGGGCATCCTGTTCCCAGCACCTGGGGAGACCTGGGTGCTTCTCCTGACCCTCCCAGCTGATTGTGTGAGCACCAGACAAGTCCATGACCTTAAGCCCTCTGAAATCATCTAGTTTGAGCCTCCTCATTTTTCACCTGCAAAGGGAACGGAGCCCTAGATGGGGGAAGCGACTTGCTTCAATGTGTCACATCAGAGCAACAGCTCGCGCATATGCCCTCTTTACTACAGCTCAATAGGATTTCAGCAGGGCAGCAATGCTCAACCCTGCCTGTATGTTTGAATCATCAGGAAAGCTTTTTCAAAATACTGATGTCTGAGTCTTGGACCAATTAAATCAATCTCTGGGCGAGGGGTGGGGCCTGGGCAGCATATTTTTTTGTTTTCCTCAGAGGATTCTAGTGTGCTCCCAAGGTTGAGAGTCACTGATTGGGGGTGGAGGCTATGATCTCTGAACCAGCAGCATCGCCTGGAAACTAGCTAGAAATGCACGTTCTCAGGCCCCATTGTCACACTCCATCAATGTAGAGATTACATGAGATCCTGGGTGCAAAGTGCCTGCCACGGTGCCCAGCGTGTGGCTAGCGACTAGAAAAGGGGCCCGCACACTTTCCTGGGGAGGGCCAGAGAGCAAACATTTCAGGCTGGGAGGGCTGCGTGGCTCTGCTGCAGACCTAACGCATTTCCATCACTGGAGAACCTACTAGTGGACAGCGCCGACCTCTACTGATAACAGCTCAGAACTGGAGTGATCAGAAACATTAAAAGACAGGAACATGGAGGGGAAGGGTTCCCAGGATAAGGTTTCCCAAAGGGTTCAGCTTTCGTCAAGTGTTGACCACGCTGGTCTCTTATCTAAGGGCCGTGGGAAGGAAAGTGTTCACAGGAATCTCCTTAGGCTGTAGAAGAGGCTGCTTTTTCAGACAGAAATGAGCCTCCAACTCCTCAAAGATCTCCCTGTGAGGCAGTAGGGGTTGGGCAGGCAGGGGGCCCAGCCTTCCCTGCTGTTTTGCTGGCCATGTACAGCCTGTACTGGAAGTTCTGCAATCCACACAAAGTGTTTAGAGCTAACTTTTTCTCTCCTTGTTTTTATTTTATTTTATTGGCAAACAGCCATGGTCATTGGTTGCACATTGCTTTCATGCTACAATGGCATAGTTGACTCTTTTAAGGAGGGCGCAGCTCACAGTGGCCCATCGCGGGGATTGAACTCGGCAACCTTGGTGTTATCAGCACCACGCTCTAACCAACTGAGTTAACCAGCCACCCCTCTCTCTTTGTTTTTAATTGGGTAATGCCTTCAAGTGGGTCCAGAAATGTGAAATGTCTGCAGTGAGAAACCTGCCTCTTGCCCCCAGTCTCACAGTTGCCTACCTCCATTCCCACACCCACCTCGCAGGGAGCCACTGTCAGGATTCCTGGGGCTCTTTCCAGAGTTTCTTTATGTGCCTTCAAGCGAATATGACTATGGGTTCTTATTTCTCAACCACTTTTACAGATCAGGTTGCCTAGAACACACACTATTGTGTCTATGAAAATTGGTTTCACAGTGGGTTTTTGGCAGTCTTCCCATACCAGTCCTCATTCTGTTTTGTGTTTTTGACAGCTGCTTGAGCTGCACTACAAGTTCTTAGGCCACTCCCCTCTGGATCATTATTTGAGTTATTCCCATCATTTTGCAATGCGGATACATTTCTGAAACTATTTCCTGCTCCAACATTCAAACATACAGTGAAAACAAAACTGAGCATTCATTTGGAGTTTGAAATGAGCCTAACCGTTCTGTGAAAAGAAAATATCCACACCCTTCCCATCAAAACCGGAAGGCTGCCTTCTCCCTATCAAAGTTATTCTTTTTTTTTTAAGATTTTTATTGGGGAATTGGGGGAGGGGAACAGCGCTGGGGAAACGAGGGGAAGAGGAACAGACAAGTTGCTGTCCTGTTGTTCTTCAGTCTAGTTGTGGAGGACGTTGCTTCACTGGCCCATGTTGGTATTATCATTGCGCTCTTTCCGGGTGAGGCAGTTGCTCACCGGCCATTGGACGGCCACTCACGGTGGCTCTTGGCAGCTCACACCGGTTGTCGGCTGCTCACGCCAGCCCAGCTCCAGGTAAAGCTGTTGTTCACCATCGTAGCCGTAGAGGGCACAGCGTCACTGACCCTCATGTGGGATCCGACTCGGGGCCCTGCTGCACAGAGCTGGCGTCCTAAGCCAGCTCTTAACCAATGTGCCACTCGGCCGGCCCCTATTCTGTCTTTTTAGTAATCTTAGCATTGCACAAAGTCCATTTTCCGGGTTTTCAATATTCTTTGCTGGTGAAAAAGCTGAGATAATTCTCTCAGTGTGGGTCCAGATTTTTATACAGAGCCACACAGAACTCTTCTAAGGAAAATAGTGCTGGTCAGATGGGCCTTTGAAGGTATTTAAGATCTCATATGATGGGGGGCTGCGCTTCCCCGCTCTCCGCAACTAAGATTGAACACTACACCTTGAGCTGAGCGTGCGGCCAGGTGGCCAGATGGCGACTGGACTTGGAGCTGAGCTAACTGTGCCCTCCACAACTAAGATTGAAGGACAACAACTTGCCTTTTCCCCTTCCCCAATTCCCCCAATAAAATCTTTAAAAAAAATAAAAAAGATCTCATCTGAAATGCAAGCTCCCCATCCATATACACAGCAGCACCAAGGGGGTGTTAGCCTCCCCATATCTCCTTAAGTACCTTCCCACCAAGTAATCCAGGCAGTAACAGTGTTTTGGGGTATACACACACAGCCTCAGGGCAAGGAGACCTTACTATTCTCCCCAACCCTAACAAGACCAGCCTTAAACTTCTATACAGGATTTTTGGAGCTTCCCTTGACTACCTAATGGAGAAAAGTGGCTGCCCTGGGTCTGCATGGATGTGTTTCCCGAAGTTTCTGGAGGCAGTTGGCATACTTTCTGCATGATGCAGAAGATGGATTCCCATCTGTCACGAGCGGGGTAGGGAGCCAAACAGACAGTGAAAAAGGCAGTTGCTACTCGGACTCAGCTAAATTTTCTCCCAAAACATTTCATCAAGTTAACACGTGCACATAGGTTTTAAAAAACTAAAAGGCACCAAAAGCCTTAAAATGAAAAACTCAGCTGCTGTGTGTCCAGGTTTTTGTATGTACATACTCCTGGTAACTTATTAAATAATACGACACAACAACTAAGACCTTCTGGTAGAAACGCCTTGGGTGCCCAAGACTTCAGTGAGAGCATTTTTGATTTGTTGGTTTTGTTGGTTTGTTATCTTTGCTCAAAAGTACATGCACTAGCCCTGCAAACCTTCCCATAGGAGGCAGATGAAGTACTTACCAAAGTGACAGATCCGGGCCCAGCTAGAGATGAGGGCAGACCCCTGTCCTAGAGGAGCTGCATGAAACTTGAACTCTCATATCTGCTGTAGTCCGGAAGTAGCCAAACAAAGAGGGAGCCATATTCTGACAGGTGGAAAAGCGAGACTTCCCAGAGAGCCTTTCTTTGATTGGTGGAGACATTCTAGAAGGAGGAGCAGGAGTTTTCAGCAAAGTTTGCCCTGGAAGTTGATACCGTCCACCCTTTCAGAGCAAAGCTGTTGGGGAGGGAGGTGCTGGGAAAGTACTTTAGTCACAGGAGGGAAAGCATGCGTGGAGTTGCTGGAGAGAGGAGTGGGGGAAAGAAAAAAGGGTGGAAGAAGACAGAGGGGCTTTTGAGGTGAAGAAAGAAGCTAAGGGGCAGGATGGTCCACTCTTGGGCTCAGTGAACCAGTTGCCTTGTTTCTGTTGAACTGCTCAGGATTAAACATAAACTCTGATACACAATGAGCATAAACAAAAAATCCAAAGTAAATGAACTGAAACTAGCAATGTACAGACACACACACGAGATCCATGATGACCAGTTTGAGTTTATCCCATGAAAATGTAGAAGGAGAAAAATGATTTCAATGAATACAGAGAATGTAGTTAATGAATTTCAGCACTTATTCATAGGGGGACAATCCCTAGCCTCCCAAAAAGTGAAACATGAATAGAAGGGCATTTCCTAAATGTGATAAAAGGTATCTGTCAACTTATTTTGATATTGAAACATGAGAAACATTTAATGTTGAAGCGTTAGAGCCATTCCAGTTAACCAGGAATAAGGCAGTGTCACCTCTCCTAGTTATACTGTAGAAAAGGCCCCTGTCAGCCCTTTCCAGACTAACTCAAATGCAGGTGCTTTGTCTGTCTTGCTCATTACTGAATTCTACATAGCTTAGAACAATAGGACCCAACACATTAGAAGTGTTCATGGTGTTAAATGAGGGAGTGAAAAAGCCATAGCTATGAAAATGATACAGGCATACCTCAATTTATTGTGCTTTGTGGGTATTGCATCTTTTACAAATTGAAGGTTTGTGGCAAGTCTGTGTCAGCCGGGCAAGTCTATGGGCGCCATTTTCCCAACATGACTTGCTCACTTTGTGTCTGTGTCATATTTCAGTAATTCTCACAATAGTTCACACTTTTTCATTGTTATTATATTTGTTATAGTGATCTGTGATCAGTGATCTTTGATGTCACCATTGTAAATTTTTGGGGTGCCAGGAACTGTACCCACATAAGGCGGTGAACTTAATTGATAAATGTTGTGTGTGTTCTGACTTCTCCACCGGCCGGCTGTTCCCGTCTCTCTCCCTCGGGCCTCCCTGCTCCCTGAGACACAGGAGTGCTGAAATCAGGACCGTGGACCCTACCATGGCCTCTAAGCGTTCGAGTGAGAGAGGAGTCACATGTGTCTCACTTTCAAATAAAATCTAGAAAGGATTAAGCCCAAGGTGCGAATGCAAAGGAAAAGTTCTCCAAGGAAATGAAAACTGCTACTGCAGTGAACACATGAAAGATAAGAAGGCAAAACAGCCTGATTGCTGATGTGGAGAAATTTTTAGAGGCCTGGATAGAAGCCCCACCCAGAGCGAGGCCCTGACTCTCTGCAGTTCCGTGAAGGCTGAGAGGGGAGGAGGCTGCAGAGGAAAAGTGCGAAGCTGCCAGGGGCTGGTCCATGAGGTTTAAGGAGAGAAGCCATCTGCATAAGGTCAACGTGCGAGGTGAAGCACCACGTTATCTAGAAGGATTCATGAAGGTGGCTGCACTAAACCCAGATACTCAATGTAGGTGAAAACAATGAATAATTATTTTTATATATAAGTAACTAATGTTTATTTTAAAATTCAAGTAATAGAAAAATATGAAGGTAAAAAACCATTTCACATCTCACCATGAAGAGGTAACTTGCTACACACGTTATTTAAGATATTTCTCTAAGTGACTGGACTTTTTTTTTTTTTTTAAAGCTTGTCAGAGTTTATTTGAGCCAAACTGACGACAATTGCCAGGAAGCAAAGTCTCAACGGATTTTTTTGTTAGGTGTTGAGGCATGTGCCTTCTTGCCTGTAACCATAACTTCCTCCGTTACCAACCATTCGTTTATATCAGTGATCCCCAGCCAGGGACTATTGTGCCCAAGGGGCTGTTGGGCACTGTGGAGACATTGTGGGTGCCACACCTTGGTGAGAAGGAGGGGCAGTCAATGCTATTGGCATCTAGTGGGTGGATATCAGGGATGCTGTTAAACATGTTTGGTATTAATATAAATATATTTTACAAGTTAAAATGTTCCCATAGAGACCATGTAATGTTAAGAGGCTTGGCTAAGTTTCCTTGTATTTTTTGATTTCTCATTCTGATAATCAGGTTCCTGACTTCAGTGAGTTCCTTGTACATACTTCTGTCCTGTTTTTCTTTGTGCCTCCGGGGTCCTGTAACAGGGGTGCTAAAGGAAAGTCTGTTGAATGTGCACGTTTCAGTGGGAGCCATAAAACGAGCAGGATGGTTTGGAGAAACCGGCTTATAATGGCATCGTGAATATGAAGTGTGTCTTGCTTTGTCAGTAGTGGTCATGACCTCAGTACTTAGGACACTAGCATATAGGTGCTTAATAAATATTAACTGAGTGAATCAGTGACTATGAATGAGGGAATGAAACGGTTCTTTGCAAGCACGGACTATGCCCAGTTGCAGACCAGCATCTAAGTTTACATGCCGGCTCCTGCCGCAGAACGCTTCTGCAGGGAAACAAACCCCTCCGTCCCGTGGAAAGGGGAAAGCAGTGCCTGTCAATCCTAGAGACGGGCCTCGAGCCACCTCCCCATGGCCTGAGGCCCGCCGGCTTTAGGACCCAGCGCAGCGCAGGGCAAGGTTTGGAGGCGGGGCTAGGGGAGGCCGTCGCGCGCAGCTGACGTAGCCAGCCCGCGCCAGCAGGAGTGAGGACGCCGAGAGCCGTCGAGAAGCACGTTTCTCGCTCGCCGCAGCTGCCACGCACCATGGCGAGCCCCGTCCAGCAGCCTCTTCAGTCGGGCGGCAGTAAGCGCAAAGGCAAGGCTCAGTACATGCAGGCCAAGCGGGCGCGGCGCTGCGACGGCGGCGGGCCCCGGCAGTTGGAGCCCGGGCTGCAGGGCATTCTCATCACCTGCAACATGAACGAGCGCAAATGCGTGGGGGAAGCCTACAACCTGCTCAACGAATACGGCGACGACTTGTTTGGGCCGGAAAAAGTAAGGGCCCCGGGGCGGGCGACCGGACGGGCCGGCCGGCTACTAGGCCTTTGAGGGAGGCGGGAAGGCCGGTTGCCTTCACACGCATGCGCGAGTTTTGTCGCCCGCGCAATGACGAGGGGGCGTGGCCTAGCCTCTGTCCCGCCCCCTCGCGTACTCTGGGTGGCCGACCGCTGCCGGGTCCTCAGCTTGAAATGCCGAACACCTCGCGCTCCTCCTGTCCTTAATCACGGTGGCTCCGTGACTTATAGGTTGCCTCCTGTGGCCCAGGCGTTGTGTTCCTGAAGCTCTTTAAGAAACACGTGCTTCTTACGACAGCCTCATGAAGTAACGTTCACGAGGACACGGAGGGTTAAGTAGGTTAAGTGGATGGTCCAAGCTCACGCGGGCAGACAGCTCGCATCCTCGTGGCTTTTTCCATATCTCACCACCCTCTGGACACCGTGGCTGTAATAATGTGTTTGTCCTAAGCAGTAGCTCTGAGATAGTGGGTTTAGTGTCACTGCTTGTTATTTCTCAAATGCCCCTAAAAATATATTTTAAAAGCAAAAGCTTTTGTGCCAGCACCACAGTCAGTCGAATTATCCCATCACAGTTTGGGAATCGTGACATTCTTGGCATGAACACCCCCAAGAATTAGATGGAGGAGAGCAGAAGGGATTTGAATTCAGGGATTGTCACTGACTGGCTCTGGACCTTGGGCACATCATTTAATTCCGCTGAGCTAGAGAAAAAAGAAGAACGATAGCATCTCGTAAGGTTGGCTGAAAAGTTGCTTATGTCCATTAAGTACATCCTGCTGTATAATAAAGGGTCCGTAAACGTTGACAATCACTATTAGTGCCTGATTGGCAACACCATCGGTGGCGCAGAGAACCGGGCAGCACGTGCACGTCCTGTGTACACTGGTACCTTGAGCGAGCTCTTGAACTATTTCTGTTCCCCGTTCCTCAGTAGGGCAGGAGTAAGGGTTTTTTTTTTTTTTTTTTTTTT